GCAAAAGTAGGAAGTCAAGAAACACCTGGAGTAACAGGAAAATTTGGCCTTGGAGTACAGAATGAAGCAGGTGAAAGGCTAATAGAGTTTTGCCAAGAGAACACACTGGTCACAGCAAACACCATCTTCCAAAATATACAAGAGAAGACTCTACACGTGGACATCACCAGATGGCCAACACCAAAATCAGATTGATTATATTCTTTGCAGCCAAAGATGGACAAGCTCTATACAGTCAGCAAAAACAAGACCGGGAGCTGAATGTGGCTCAGATCATAAACACCTTATTGCCAAATTCAGACTTAAATTGAAGAAAGTAGGGAAAACCACTAGACCATTCAAGGTATGACCTAAATCAAATCCCTTATGACTATACAGTGGAAGTGAGAAATAGGTTTAAGGGACTAGATCTGATAGACAGAGTGCCTGATGAACTATGGACAGAGGTTCGTGACATTGTACAGGAGACAGAGATCAAGACCAACCCCATGGAAAAGAAATGCAAAAAGACAAAATGGCTGTCTGAGGAGGCCTTACAAATAGCTGTGAAAAGAAGAGAAGCGAAAAGCAGAGGAGAAAAGGAAAGATATAAGCATCTGAATGCAGAGTTCCAAAGAATAGCAAGGAGAGATAAGAAAGCCTTCCTCAGTGATCAATGCAAAGAAATAGAGGAAAACATTCCAATTACTGATGTGTATTCGTGGATCTTGAGATTTAGAACCTCTGTTCCTGATTGTCTTGAGTTCAGACAATGTAGCAGGCAAAGCTCTTTTGGGCCAGAAACATACTGAAGCGTTTGTTTGTTTGCTTTTTAAATGAAAGGCTGTCTATGTTTATACACTATCCACCTTGCTAAATTCAGTGTTCTTCAATGTGAGTGCCATGCTTTCACCAATTTCCTAAAGGCCACAGTCAGTACTCTGTACTTCACGTTGGCTCATCATATGCTATTCATTCAAAAGAGGAGTAAATAAATGACTCTGGATGATCAACATTCTACCTGCCCCCACCCATAAAAATATCAGTTCTCTTGGGCTTCCATGTCCTCTTGTCAATGCCTCTTTTCTGGTTGAAGTTTTGCTTAACAAGTAAGAAGATAGAGGCAAAAGTGTTTTGGAATAGTTGCACTTATTTGCATATTTTGTTCAAATACATTAAATCTTTGTTTTATTCATTTTCTTTAAACTTAAATAACTAAACAAAAATAATAAAAATAAGAATTTTATAATTCCCCTTTTGACCTGGGCAGTTTTTTCAATCACTTTATTATGGTTAGTGCCTTTTTGGACACTGTTCTTACTCATCTATGACATTCAACTATATCTGTCATTCACAAAGATACAACTTATGCAAAAAATCTTTTAGAATCTGTTTTTAGGAAGAGGTCACCTATTTCAGATATACTGCTTAAGTTTACATCATCATAAATATAATTGTGAATTTGTTACATTCCTCAAATTTCTTTGATAATATCCAGCTTTGATGTCCTAACCAGTCTTCCATGTTGGTTAAGATTGAACTTGTTTCTAGAATTTTATGTGTGGAAGTCAGGACATGGAAGGTTGTAATGTGACTGACAGATGAGGAAGGAAAAACTCACTTAAGCTTGGATGATACGGGTAGGGAAAAATAAGTCAATATTAAGGGAAGATGGCAGGATCAAGTAATGACTTTTAAAATGAAGGTTAGATATGAGCATGTTTAAACATTTATGGAAACAACAGAGATGCATTGCATCTGGATGCATAAATCAGGGGGCAAAACTGTGGTCACTAGGCTGTTAAGTCTTTCATAACCTGCTATATAGCCCAGGAAACTCTACTCAGTACTCTGTATTGATCTATATGGGAGAAGAATCTAAAACTGAATGGTTATCTGTATACATTTAACTGGTTCTCTTTGTTGTAGAGCAGAAACTAACACAACATTATAAATCAACTACACTGCTAATAAAAGCTAATCTAAGAAATGTATGTTATCACATCCTGAATCTACGCTATACTCTAGGAAGTAAGCAGAGATATTTATTTGCTTGCTTTTACCATGTCTCTCAATGAGATTATTAAACCTTTCCTTTTTTTGGTCATCTTTTCATTTAGGGGTTTGTAATATAGAAAGAAATTGAGAGAAAATCAAAGAAAAAAGAGAGACAGAAACTAAAACCAGATCCCCAAGTCTGCTAAAACAATATTCCCTCTGTCAGGACACTCTCCCCAAATTCATCTGTGACCTTCAAGGAGACAAGCCTTATAAACATGTTTTATCGTTTTAAATCCTTTATCTGTAAAGTATTTTTAGCTTTATTCAAATGCTTTCCAGTGTGTTCCTTCCTTTGACTTTTGGAGTTTCCACATTTATACTGCCTCTGATAGTAACATATTCGTAAAAAACAGATCTATGTATATTGAACTGGAGGCTCCATGGTTAGCAGTTATCAACGTGGTCACATTGACTGATTCATCACATCTGACATTCACTTTATTACCTTAGCTTTTCAGACTGTATATAACAATCTACAGGGTGAATAACACCCCCTTTACAAATATTCTATTCTGTGAATTACTAAGAATTTCTCCTTTGTTGCTTGTCAAACCTGACAGAATTGAGTGAACATTTTCATAGTTTTATTTAGAAAGTTTTCTTCCTCTGTACCACATTTCATTTAAATGCATCTTTATGTTTCTTTGCCTTTATGAGCTAAACTCTTCAAGAGTTCTAAGTCCTGGGACATGGTCCAAAACTTCAAATTTGGTTCTTTGACACCATCATCCCTCTACCATATTACTTTCCATAGCATCATCTTCTATCTACTATTTCTATTTTCACTGATAAAAGAAAGAATATTGGCACAGTGCTCCCATGTCTGAATTTTCTAGATCAAGTTATTAAAATCATGATAATTAGAGATGTTTCCCTAATTCCTTCTAATTTGTCAATCAGTAGCACCAAGTGGCAAGCCCTGGATTTGGTTAAGCTTTCACGGTCTTCCCCTCACCACGGCGATGCCCATTTTTCAGGACAAAAGTAAACATGAGTCTATATTCCTCCACCAAAGCACGAGTGGCAGCAGGGACCATTTCTTCAGGAAAACAAAACAAAACAAAACATGATTTACTGAAACTTACTAGTGCCTGTGTTTTCTTCTTATTTTCTCGTGTTATATCCAGCAAAGACCTTTATTTTTTGGTTTCTACAGGAACTCTGTTTCACCCTCAGGGCCGCTTTTCTCTAGCTCTTGAAGTGTAGATTTTTGCCTTTTGTCTCCCTCATCAGCATTGTAGTTCTCACTCTGCTACCCTCAGTGGCTTTGTTTATACTCTATTGTTCTACATAGCAAAAGAAAACTGCTCAGAACTCAGAAATCTCAGGTCTACAGTGTGATCTTGAAAAACAATTGCTATTTTCTGATTTGGAAGGAGTTGATAAGAACATAATTATAATTGATTCTCTTCCCATCTCATCTGTTCTAACATAGAGACATACAGTCACTGAAAATGAGTAAAAAGGCTGCGTTTCTAGAAGCTTTTATAGTTTTGTAGGCCTTAAATTATATCCTAGATATTTTGATTTTGACTATAAATAGTCGTCAAGGGAAACAGATTTTAAAATAATGTCTTGGTGTACACATTTTATATTCCCCCAAATAACCACCTTCTTTTAGCCTAAAAGGGTCCTTTCCTGAGAAAGAGAAACCCAAGGAACATTCTGGTCTTTGGTTGAGTGACAATCACAGAGCTGACTGCCCATGTGTTACGGAGACGGCTGTCCTACGGCTTCCCATGTTTTTTATGGGTTTCACGCAGAGAAAGCACGAGGACTGGAACTTGGGAAAGGTATTTTTGAATAATACTACAGTTGTAAATCTGCAAATATGAACATTATTCTCAGAAATTCTTGTAGTGCCAGGGCAGTAAACTAATTCTGGGGGATGGGACATTCTTTGTGAATAATCATTCCTTTATTTGAGAACTCAAAATGAGTCCTAAGAAAGGGAGTGCTGCTTTCTGTTCATCACTTACCATCAGAAGCAGGAGCTAAATTTTTTTCTATATCTTTTTCTCTGTAATTTAACTCTAGTTCTGAATTCAACAGAATGAGAAGAGCAGGGGAAAGTAAGGGCAAGTACAAATAAGCAAGATGATGAAAAGGATTTGAGGAGAAAAATTCAATATGTAAAATGACATCAAAGAAAAAAAAAAGCCAAGAGTATATATCATCATTTAGAAAATACAATTCACATATTCTTTTTGTTTCAGACTATATCTATTTATTTACCTACCTATCTATTTATCCATCTATCTATTTATCAACCTATTTATATATTTATATATTTACCTAGGGTCATTTCAGATGTATTGATCTATATTCAATTAGTCACTGACAATAATTCTAATGCAACTCCTATTGCCCCTTCCTCTGTCTCCCCATCTATATGCTACAGAGTTTGTTAATACAAAGTTGTGACACTTGAAAACAAAGAAACCTTACCCTTTACATCTAGGCCCTTTAAATGCTTTATTTTGACCTAAAAAGAGCTATTTTGGATTTTTTGTAGGTTTCTTAATTTTTTCAACAGAAAAACTTTTAAAATTCACACAGCTAGTTGTTATATACATCTATGCAGTGTGCTCAATGGTTTCAAGCTGGTTTTGAAACATGGCCTTGGATGAATATTTCAGTTTAGCAAATTATTAATACATTGCTTACTCATCAGTAAACAAGGATGACACTAGTGACCCCTGTCTGGAGAGTCCTTGTGTCTATCACAGTGTTAAAATTACCTATATTCTCGGTATTATTATTAACAGAGAAATCACAAGGATTGGAAGTTTCATAATATTCTTCCATTGAAACTTTTACCAAGAATTATTCAGCTAAATTGGTTACAAAGATGATTAAAATAGAAAGTTTATCAGGTAGGGGAAATGAGATAAAAGATAGGTGGGTATTAAGAAGTAAGGAAAATGAGTGGCAGTGGAAAGTCAAACATGCATACTTACGGAGTTGCCCAAGACGAGCTTTTTCTTTTTTACCAAACAAACGTCCTATTGAAGACTTGATTCCTTTCTTCTTGGGGGCTTTGTGAAGAGAGTCTTGGCTGCTGTTGGCACTGCCAAGCCCAAGGCTTTCAGGCTCGAGGGAGACAGATAAACTACTGCGAACATAAAAGACGGAAGACTGCTTGCTTTGGTGCAACATTCGTAAGGTACACAAGACAGTGTCCTTTGTCACAAGACAATTCTGGAACACCCCCGAGGTGCGTGCATGCTAAGTCACTTCAGTCGTGTCTGACTCTTTGCTAGCCCATGGACTGTGGCCTGCCAGGCTCCTCCGTCCATGGGATTCTCCAGGCAAGAGTACTGGACGGGCTGCCATGCCCTCCAGGGGATCTTCCACTAGGTACACGAGACCTAACCCTTGATAAAGGTATAAAAGGAGGAACAAGGACACTTAAATGTTACTTTCTCCTTTTATTCCCATGTTTCTTCTTAAGCACATTAAAGTGTGATTTCCTCAGCCTTAGGACCCTAAGCCTCCAAATTTTCTCTAGAAAATATTCTTCCTAGTATTTTTCCTTATTTCTCTTACAATATCAAACCAATCAGTGAACACAGATTGGTTTATTAAGTTCATGTGACGTGACCTTCTATAATTTAGTCCTTGACCCTTTACATATTTCTTTTTTGCAGTTTATTTTTTTAGATCTTTAACATAATGACCTATGACAAGAAATTTAAACGTAACTAAGGAGATCCAACCAGTCCATCCTAAAGGAGATCAGTCCTGGGTGTTCATTGGAAGGACTGATGCTGAAGCTGAAACTCCAATACTTTGGCCACCTCATGCGAAGAGTTGACTCGTTGGAAAAGACCCTGATGCTGGGAGGGATTGGGGGCAGGAGGAGAAGGGGACGACAGAGGATGAGATGGCTGGATGGCATCACCGACTTGATGGACATGAGTTTGAGCAAACTCCAGGAATTTGTGATGGACAGGGAGGCCTGGTGTGCTGCGATTCATGGGGTCACAAAGAGTCGGACATGGCAGAGCAACTGAACTGAAGTGAACTGAATGAAGTTTATGCTCGTATTCTAGCCCATGGTTTAACTGGATTTTCCTCTTGCTATCTTTCTCAGTTTTGGTACTTTGTTGAATTTTAAATCATCTCGGTGAGATTTTGAAGTAACAAATCATATACCCTAGTCATCACTGTATATTTTCCTTACAGTTCTCAGGTCTTCTTGTAGGTACATGATAAGCTGAAATGATTTCCAAGCAAGCTGATCTAGGTCCCATTCTTGGTCAATATATTTAACACTTTTAATAGGATAGGTTTTATGATACCATTATCATTTTTATAGCTATTAATTTGACAGTATCATGATGAATTATTTAACTGTACTTATTCATCTTAATTAATCTGAGTTCAGTGAGACAGTAAGGAATCTGCCTGCAATGCAGGAGACCCCGGTTCAATCCCTGGGTCAGGAAGATCTACTGGAGAAGGGAATAGTAACCCACTCCAGTATTCTTTCCTGGAGAATTCCATTGACAAAGGATCCTGGCAGACTACCGTCCATGGGATCGCAAAGAGTCAGACATGACTAAGTGACTAACACACACAACACACTAAGTATAAATTTTGAACCTGGAGTAACTTTTCACATTAGGAAATAAAAATAAAACAAAGAAAAAATGTTTGATATCACAAAAAAACTCTTTTCAAAAATGTTTATTGTAAACCACATTATAGATTCTTTCTTAAATCATTAAATCATTATATTCAGTTATATCAATTACAGGTTCAGAGATGCTATAAATGATGACAGTGAAAGAACATATATTTAGGATGTAAATTGTATGCTTAGATTTATTTATTTATGGCATTAGTTATTGTAGAAATCTGCTTTGATTTTTAGGCAGATGGAAAGGACAATATGAAGAGTTGCTATGACAAATAGGGTATTTTCCCATGTAAACTTATCTTTCCTTTTAATATTTCAGGTTGTTTTTTCCTTTTCTAAGGAGGAGCTTTATAGCTGGCAGTAGTAGCACCTATAGGGTGATTTACGTACCTGTCTGTTAAAAGTATCTGGGGTACAATCATGCACTTTTAAGATCTTAATTATCTTTACACTAGAAGCCAAGCTTATAGTCTTGCCTTGGAATCTCTTTAGTTTTTGGTAACTATTCCTAACCAGTACTTCCTATACTTTGACTCCATTTTAATAGGGAAAGGCTATTCTCAAAATATTGACTAGTAACAAGATAAAAAATATACAGTGATTCTAAAAATGAAAATTTGACCTCAGAATGAAAATTTGGCTTTTTCACAAGTGATACTGTGAAGAGGGAGCAGGAGAATTATAGCTCAAATAAAAAACTTTATATAAATTTTAAGCAGTCTGATAACACTAAAAGGACGAATATTTTTGGAAGGAGGACATACAATGTGCAGGGTGCTGGGACGGTCATACCTTCGGGCATCATTATGGTAGGAAGAAGGGAGGGTGTGAGTCATCCTGATGGCTCTAGGGGTAGGGGGAGGAGAAGTTTCACATTTAATTGTTGCTTTATCCTCCCGACCATCTTCCTCTACCACCGCAATCTGGAAGCAAAAAAAAAAAAATACCAGATTCATTTTTTCTAAATTTTAACTGAAACTGATAAAAATAGAGATTCATTAAAGCAAGGCTATTTGAGTAATTCTAATATAAAAGCAAAACAAGAAATTTAGGACATATAAGTCTTACACATAAAAACTCACATTATTAAAGAGTAGGAATTTCATAACTATTTAAAAGTTAAGACACTCCAGTTAAAACACACATACACACACATAAATGGACTTACGACATAAAATATTATTTAAGTGTAAATAAACACCATACATCAATATCCAAGGACTATGGAAAAGCTATCTTGGAATCCATTAAATATATCAGAATGTAAAAGCTTTACAAAGTTATTGAACACATATTTAAACTAATTCACTAAAAATATGCATAGTCAGGTTATCATACCATGAACATCTTTTAAGTGGGAGATTTTTGATGTGAGAGTTTGACAAAATAAAATGTTATCAGATAGGGGGTTTTAAATCAGGCTAATTAAATGTGTTCCTAGATATTTAAAAAAAGAGCTGAAGTTTATAAGAAAAAACTTTCTTTTTAAAGTGAAAATAAGAATGGAATTTTTGCACACTGTTTAATTTCATTACTTCTCATGGGAAAATTGAAAAAGCCATACAGATCACCATAAGCAGATGGGATGAAAGGGATTTCTTTAAAGAACTTAGTTCCAAGTCCAGAACAATTCAAGATACCATAACTTTTGCCAGAGATGGATATACAGAACTATATTAAAGTAAGACTTTTCAACAACCGAGTTGTACAATATAGATTTTTTAAAACAATGCTGCTTTTTTCATAGTACCATTGTGTATTAAATCATATATATATATATGAAGAGAGAGAGAGAAAGATTGTGGAAAGCGTAGCTAAAAGATGTATGGTTCTAGAAGTTCTGATGAAGAAATATCTCAATATGGCTATAACAAAAAGTTTAAAACTATGTTCTCATCTTTTGTTTATAAAATGTCTTGGTAGTTTCTTTCCATTAAGCTATTATACATAAATGCGTTTATATGTGATACTTTATGTATTCGAGACATTTAATAAAAGTGCCTGTCTGGGCTCTTGTCATTCAAACTGAGGTTACTTTTAACAGCACAGCGCACGTGTTCTCGGGTGCGGCAGTGTGTGGGACTCTTTGCAGCACTATGGACTTTAGCCGCCAGGCTCCTCTGTTCATGGTATTCTCCAGGCAAAAATACTGCAGTAGGTTGTCATCTGTTGTTCCAGGGGATCTTCCTGACCTGGGATCAAACACTCATCTATCTCCTTCTCCTGCATTGCAGGTGGATTCTTTACCACTGAGCCACCTGAGAAGCCCTTAACAGGATAAGAGAACTTAGAAGATCTCTTTTCTCCATTTCAACGAATACAGTGCTATTAGAAGAATCTTTTTCAAGAACTGCTTTCAGCATAATGTTGACACTATGGAAAACCCTTTCTAAACTCACATCTCATCGAAACTTGTAAAGTGTATTTCCAAACTCTTCCTAATACATATTTATGTTTTCACAGTTCTACTATTTTACCAAGATTGATTTCCTCAATTGTTTCTGTGAAGCCTGATTATTTCTGTTTCCAGACTTTTTCTCTGAAACACCCTCTTATAAAACACCTTCTTCTCTCCAGATGGCAGGTCAAACTAGGCCAACTTTCAAAATATCAGCTCTTAAAAACATTATACACAAACCCTTTCACTGAATAATACTTAAATCTCACACTATATAAATAAAGTGGAGGACAAAGACTTCAGAATCAGAGATGGATTTGAATCTTGACTTCTCTTATTTATTGAGTGACATGTCCTAATTACTTATCTACTTTAAGATTAAATATGCTTATCAGTAAAACAGAAGTGAATATACTCAGTTTAATTTCTTTTGAAGTGCAAATTAAATCATGAATATAACTCCTTACCCTGATATACAATAAATGTTAGAGTTTGTGGTTTTTCTTTCTATAACCCAACCTTTCTTTCTTTCTCTCTCTTTTTTTTTTCAATTACACAACTTTAATTACATGATATATGGAAGAATGCAAAAAAAATAAATACATAAATAAAGAAACCACCTCGGTTTTTCAGCTCTTTGGAGCGATCTGGGGCAAAGGAATCAATTCAACAATAGGATTTTCTCAGCTGAACTAAGGATGGAGAACAGATGGTAGGGAGTCAACTCCCGGGCTGACTGGTCTTTGGCGCAAGTAAAGAAAATGCCTTCTACAGCCAAAGGGTGACGAGAACCTCATTAGGTGGATGGACTTCAGGCTCTGCACTGACATTAACTTCATTTGGGATGTGGCAGCATCCAGATGAAGGCCAGTCAGGTAATAATGGACATCTCCTCCCGGTCTTTGCTCTCGGACACTGAGTTGATTATGCTTCTTAAATATTTGATGAATTCCATCCTGATCTCTTCCGGGTCGTCCTCAAGATTCGAGTGTACCAGCTTCAGCTTGTTCAAAGGTGGTGCCAGAGCTGGGTTTTCTTTGTCACTTCCGGAGGAGCCTGGTTTGTGGTGTGCGATTAACAGACATGGAGTATTCTGTAAGAACTGCTGCTGGAAGAAGCAGGAACACCACATCTCCATTTCCTTCAGGGGACTTAGGATGCTGGCGTTGAAGACGATCACCACCCCGTGAGAGTCCTTCATCAGGGCTGGCCAGCAAGACTCGGACTTTGGATCACCGCCATGATCCCAGAGCTCAAATTCACACCCCGCGCCTATATTGTTGCTGGTAACATGTGGGTTCTCTAATTTCAGGATCCTCACTCCTTGGATTGGGTTGGGTTGTATTCAGTGATGTCAGAAGCTTCTGTCAGAAAGTTGGCCAAAATTGTTTTTCCACTCTCGCAGGGCCCCCCAAGGAGGACCTTGGCCTTCAGCAACTCGGTCCTGGGCCCACGTAGGCGCCGCTTGAGTCCGCGCCACAGTCTGCACGGAGTGGAAGTCACCACACTATAATCTCCCTTTCTTAGCAATCATCTCTGTATTCCCTAAATTCCTTGAGGCTTTATTTCTGCACAAGATCTTCTTTACATTTTTCTCCCCTCTTATACACACTGATATTACTTCACATATCATATACTCAGATTTCTTCCTCTATTTCCAGTATAATCCTTTTAAGTGGTGAAGGAAGTCAAAGACAAATGGCAATAACATTTTGCGTGATAAATTTTGCAGTTGAGAACTAACTGATAGTGTCAAGGAGAAAATATTAAAAGAAGATAGATGATGGACAATAAAAAGAAAATTCAAACAATTTAGGTCATGTAAGCATAATATGGATTCCCTTAATTAAAAAACAAAGTTCCCTAGTTCCAGAAGTATTTCGGCATAGGCTGACTATCACATCTTGAAGATGCTGAAGAATAGATTTATTTATGCATTGGGTAGTAGGCTGAATCTTTAAAATTTGTCTCATCTGATTTCCTGAATCTGAGCTCTACCACTCTCAGTTACCTAACACAATGTTATTTTGGGAATCAGAACTCTATTCCATTTTGTTTCCAACCCAGGGATCGAACCCAGGACTCCTGCATTGTGGGCAGATTCTTTACCAGCTGAGCCACAAGGGAAGCTTTTTTCCTATACCCAAGATTTATTCTCTTGACTTCATTCTAAACAGGAAAGTAGTACCTGGAGCCATGCTGAGAATGCCACTCCCTGGGCTAGCTAATTCCTAGAGATAGCAAACGATGTTCCTGGAGTTTCATATGTTCCATATGCAGACCAAACACTCTAGATCAGTATCCCAAATCATCTTTTCTATCTGGCTCTTGCACTCTGATTGTGGTTCAGTCAGTAAATTGTGTCTGACTTTTTTTTTTTTATTAGTTGGAGGCTAATTACTTTACAATATTGTAGTGGGTTTTGTCATACATTGACATGAATCAGCCATGGATTTACATGTGTTCCCCATCCCGATCCTCCCTCCCACCTCCCTCTCCGCCCGATCCCTCTGGGTCTGACTCTTACAAACCCCTGGACTGTAGCCCGCCAGGCTCCTCTGTCCATGGAATTTCTCAGGCAAGAATACTGGAGTGGGTTGCCATTCCCTTCTCCAGGGGATCTTCCTGACCCAGGGATCAAACCCGGGTCTCCTGAACTGCAAGCAGATTCCTGCATCGCAGGCAGATTCTTTACCAACTGAGTTATAAGGGGAGCCCTTACCTTCTGGGAGGCGCTATTCCTCGGCCTTAATCATCACAGGCCAGGTGTCAGACAACCAGAGACAGGCCCTAAACCCTAGGACCCACTGAAATTATTCAGACTAGTCAATCCTAAGCTTACTACCTTACCTTCACAATAAACGTTCCTGCCCATGATTTCTCCTCACACTTTCTGAGTCCTGACCTGGTGCCTCCCCTTGGCCAGGCACAGCATGGCATGCCCGGGCTCTTGGGAAGTATGAGTAAGAAGCTACCTTTTATTGGTAGTTGCTTCTTGATTTGCTTGTCTTACATAACTATGTAAACTCTGGGAGATACTGAAGGACAGCGAGGCCTGGTGTGCTGCAGTTCATGAGGTCACAAAGAATCAGACAGGATTTAGTGACTGAACAACAATGTTAAAACCTACATTTTAAAACAAGCATCACTGTTCTAGTATCAACAGTAAACTATCTAATTCTACCAAATGAGGTCTAAAAATTCTGTGGAAAATCAGAATAATTTAGTCCCCACTGTCTAAACATTCCCCTAGAAAGAATAAAACATTTTATCTTTAGAAATTTGCTCTTATGATTGCATTTAAGCAATTCAAAACCACTTAAATATTTTTAATATTTTTATGTTAATAAAATGCTTCAATTATCAGAAAAATAATTTTAAATCTTTCATAGAAAAAACAACATTCAATTAGCAATCATATCAAAGAAATGTACAATACCTTTCTCCGATGTTTCCTTAGATCACTTGGCTATGATTGGCAGGAATAAAAACAACACAAAACAGAACCAGTTAATGATTATCATTTGACCATGTTACAAATTTAAATAGTAGCTATAATTTAACTTTCTTTTTTTAAACTTCTGTTCCATTCTTTTCAAAATAAATGGCTTTTAATCACTTTATTTTGGGGGGCTCCAAAATCACTGAAGATGGTGATTGCAGCCATGAAATTAAAAGACACTTACTCCTTGGAAGGAAAGTTATGATCAACCTAGATAGCATATTAAAAAGCAGAGACGTTACTTTGCCAACAAAGTTTCGTCTAGTCAAGGCTATGGTTTTTCCAGTGGTCATGAATGGATGTGAGAGCTGGACTGTGAAGAAAGCTGAGCCCCGAAAAAATTGATGCTTTTGAACTGTGGTGTTGGGGAAGACTCTTGAGAGCCCCTTGGACTGCCAGGAGATCCAACCAGTCCATCCTAAAGGAGATCAGTCCTGGGTGTTCATTGGAAGGACTGATGCTGAAGCTGAAATTCCAATACTTGGGCCACCTCATGTGAAGAGTTGACTCATTGGAAAAGACCCTGATGCTGGGAGGGATTGGGGGCAGGAGGAGAAGGGGATGACAGAGGATGAGATGGCTGGATGGCATCACCGACTCAATGGACATGAGTTTGAGTAAACTCCGGGAGTTGGTGATGGACAGGGAGGCCTGGCATGCTGCGATTCATGGGGTTGCAAAGAGTCAGACACGACTGAGCAACTGAACTGAACTGAACTGAACTGAATCACTATAAAAGCATTCCTCCAGGAAGCTGTTTTCAAAAGGAAACTTCCTAGATGGCATGGTAGAGGGGCAGGTCTTCATGAAGGGATCATCAGTACATGCCTGAGACATGAGATATGAGACACGGACCTTAGGGAATATAAAACATGTATGAAGTGACTAGCCAGAAGTAAACACAGGACTATATCCTTCCAAGGAGATTTAGACGGGAGTGAAGAAGATTATGTGTGAAGGGAGAGCCAATGCACACACAAGTAGTTTATACACATTCCCTTTTATCTTGCCTTCTCGCTTTTCACTTTCATGTATTGGAGAGGGATATGGCAACCCACTCCAGTGTTCTTGCCTGGAGAACCCCAGGGACGGGGGAGCCTGGTGGGCTGCTGTCTATGGGGTTGCGGAGTCAGACATGACTGAAGCGACTTAGCAGCAGCAGAAGCAGGCAGGGCCTTGGACCTCCTTTGGGCAGATCTGCTATTCCTACGTGATCTCAAACTTCCTGATATCTGAACTACTGAAAGCATCTCCTTTCTCAGATGCTATTCCCCAAATACTGAAAACTCAGGCTTCAGTACAGCATGTGTCTGGGGCTGCTGTTTTCTTCACAGTGCTTTCTTACAGAATTAAAAAAATAAGTTATTTCTTTATGACCTCAGATAAAACTTATTCATTTAATATTTGTTAATTTTTCTTACATAAGGAAAACACTTTGTTAAACTATTTCATTATACTTTACATTTCTGCTGCTATTGAAAAATCAGTTGATTTACCTCATTCAATATTCTAAATAACTAGATATCACTAATGTTATTTATGCCTCTGAATTTGTGGTGAGGTAAAGGTAGATATAAATAGGTTTTATTACAGGACAAATAGTTATGTTTGCTAAATATGTAAATATAAACAATATGAGTGAATACAATGTCTTTTCAATCTCTGCTTGTCTGTCCCTAAAATTTCAAATTTTGCTTTGATTTCAAAGTTATATCCAAACATGAATTACATCCAACAAATTTTTTTTTCTCCAATATTTTCTACAGGTAAAGGAAAACCTGTCTTTCACCATAACAATAATGAATTTGATGACAAAGTTCTACTAGGTGATAAGGACCTCCTGGATTTTACTTTTTGTTTTATTGAGTCAGATATTAAACATTTTAAATGTTTAATTTTTGTTTACTTTTTTCCTTTTTACCCTCAGGAAATTCTCTAAATAGCTTTTAAGTACTCTAATTATAGTATAATAATGTTCATTTACCACTGTTTTATTTATAACTGCTCAAGAAAATGCATGAGAGCAATGGCATCCTATTCATACATAACCAAACATTATGTTTAAATGGATACAAATATATTATTTTGTTATTATAAAAATAACAACACTGTCAAGGGTTTTAATGCTAATATATAATGAAAATACTTAAAAGGTCAAAATAATAGGTTGAAAGAGTGTAGAAAATAATAGCAACACAGAAATAACCAAAGTTTTCTTGGCTTGAATGCTAAGTAAATTATACCCTGTGGGCCAATATTCTTACTACAGCTTTGATGACAAGTAGATCATCAATATACGTAGCATAAATTACACATTCAGAAACTAAGCCAAATACAAAATCATTTTTAATGACTCTAATCAGATGGATGGTTCCAGGATTTTAGAGGGGAGGGCATACCCCACAGCCTGTGGGGTTTCAGTTCCCTGACTAAGGATCAGAACTGTGTTCCCTGTAGTGGAAGTGTGGAGTCTTAACCACTGGACCACTAAGGAAATTCGGTTCCTAGATTTCTAAAATAAGGAGATCATAATTTGGTCATAGATCAAAATGTAGCTCAGTATATCGGGTTAGTTTATCTTAGTACACTGGCTAAAAGGTTGTGCTGAATCTCGCTGGGATCAGCTTTGATTAGTCTTTATTTGGATTTTCCATCTGGAAATAAGCAAGGGATAGGATACTCAATGCTTGAAGGAGGTATTTCCTTTTTAATTTTTTTTCATCATTTCTCTTTTATATAGATTTTATTGCATGGAAGTTTCATAATTGTAAAGAGTTTGGATAAAGGAAATACTGCCTCATAAATAACCTTCTGTTCCAATTTTCAGTTGCAAAGTTAAAGAAAAAGATACCTAACTGATATACATAATAGAAATTTTATGAAGATAAAATCTAAAAATCATTTACTTACAAGGTAGTTTTCCCCTTGGGGTGAGAATATTATATATCTATATATATACAAACACACACACACATACATATATGGACATGTGTGTGCATTTATATAAATTAATTCTAATGCCATTTTTTGCCGCAAACCACATTATTGCAATATATTTTTCTTGAAGATTTATTTAACAATCATTTAGAAATTGAGTTAAACTTCATTGTTTATATATTATACACACGTACACAGATGCAGGCATTGTGACACTTTTTATAGAGGCTTCACAGCCTTCTGACCAGAAACACTATATACATTTAATATTCATATTCTTCTGTCCTATTATTAATTTCTCCTCCATTTGTTATACTTGTACTAGATTTTTGCAGTATATCATCTATTATTTGATCTATTTGCATTTTAATTAATCTCCATCTCTAAACTTTTATATCTAATTTAAATTTTACTGTTTTAATATAGTTCTAATATTCATGACAAAACATAGACTTTCCCCTCATAAACAGTTCAGAATATTTAAATCTTCATTATTGTTGTCATTTCAACATATTTCCCAGGTAATCAAAGAAATATATATTTCCCTCCTAATCACTGAAAACAACAAAGATAAAATAGTATATGCTTTTTTTTTTGACTTAGCATATTTGAAGAAAAGTTCAGCTCCTCTTTACTAGCTGTGTTGAACAAGGACATTTATCCACTCTCAACATTTCAATTACTTATGCCCAAGATAATGCCCTCAGATTTTCAAATGTTATCTGAGAATAAAATGACATTCAACAGTCACTCTACCTACATTATTTGTGGCAAGGGCTATTTTAATTTTTCTTTTGTATGTTAAGAGTACTTTATAATTTAGATTTCTGACTTTTAATCTCAAATGAAGATACATGAAATAAAAAATTAAAGGGTAAAGAAGGGTGAAACTATTGACATGGAATTATAAAGCTCAGGAAATTGCTGCTATTATTTTAGAATTTAAGCTCTTCTTTTAGAATTATAATTTTATAATATAAATACCCTTTATATAAATATAAATTTACCCTTTAATTTTATATTATAAAATTATAATATAATATATTATATTTTAATATATTTTAATATAAAATTTAATATATTAAAATTAATAAATTAAATTCTAGAAATATAATATATAATATTATAAAATAATAGAAAATAAATATAATAGTAAATATATATAATAATATACATAATATAAAATATATAAAATATATAAAATAAAATATAAAAATATAAAACAATATATTAAAAATAAAATTTTAATATAAAAGTATAATATAATATAATAAAATTATAACATTCTATGTTGGTGTATTGAAGCAATTATAATAAATAATTTTGAAACTTACTGTGTTAAAAAAAAAACACCCAGTCTCAATGTACTTCATCAAGATATCATCAGTAAAAATGAACTTGATGGTTTAAATTATTCAGATTTCTGATGTGCTATTTAGATTTCTGCTCTTCTATTTACTAATTATGTGACCTTGGGAAATTATAGCTATGTAGGGTCCATTTCCTTATTTTATAGTTGGATTAATATTTGTACTTATCATATAGGTTTATTAAGAAAAAATGAAAAATGATAAAACACACAGAAAGCTTTTAGATGAGAAGAAATATCCAATAAATTTTAGCTAATGCATTAGTAATTCTTCTAATGGAAGCAAAAGTTCTCTGGACACATCATACCAGTGTCATGACTCCCATACGATCCATTTCCCTGGCAGGACTTCGAGGTGTGAGCTTTGGTGTTGAGTGTCCACTAGGGGGAGACGAGCTGGCCAGCGAAGACGCTGTGACGGAGGCAGTGATGGAGGTACCTGGGTGGACCCGGGCTAAATTCAGGCCTTCCAGACTCACACTAGCCACTCTGTTCTCAATTTCTTCAGCACGTAACTCTGTGGATTCTTTTTCTTCTTGAATTAGTCTGAAAGATATAATTTAATTTTGATACATTACATGTTGTTATAAAGTTATTAATATTTGGAATTCATCAAATAAATAAATGCATAAATAACTGAATATTTTTATATCAAATCTAATACTTTTATTTTTTCCCTAGACAATATAACTTTCAATAAATTCCAGAGACTTCCTGGTTGAGAACTAGGAAATCTTTCTTTCCAAATGACATATAATCCCTTGGGTTTTCAGTTTGATACCCTTTCTATACCACTACCTGTTAAAACTCTTTTAAAACTTTGAGTGCCTAGTTAATTACTGCCTCTAATCTTAATCTTACATATGTACTTAGGAACCAATATGTGAGACTTTTAAGAATTCAAATCTCAACAAGGTCATTGACTCTTACCTCCTATCCAATGAAGCAGTATGATTGATAGACTACTCAAAAAATGGTCATTCATAATTATAATTTGACCAAATAAAACTCTGACTTAGCCAACTTGCTTTTACATAAGCACTAAGATTTAAATAATGTATATATGGTAGATAGTTAAATGTTTTAAGAAAAACTGTTGCTGTTTGAGAAGACAAACAACTATTACTCTTTTTCTTTAATCAGGGAGAAACTTCAAGAATATACACAAATTATTTATCACAAAGACACAAAGAATAAAGAACTTCAGCAGGGTTGCTGCAAGATCCTATTTAAGTTGAATCTATACACAATTTGCATATTGTTATAATAAAACTGTGTACTCATATAGTTTATTTGAAAAATGGGGGTTAGAAACATCTCTCCTGAGATATTTTCCTCTTAACTATAAATGGATTATTGTGATTTCCAATGATATATAATCTTTAATTTCAAGGTAATAATCACCACAAAGTTTTCTTTTTACATATTTACTTTGGAAAAGTTTGGCAATTTCTTATAAAACTAAACATACTCTTAATATATAATTCAGTAATTGTGTTCCTTGATATTTACCCAAAGGATATGAAAGCTGAGGTCCACACAAAAACCTGTACATAGACGTTTAGAACAACTTTATCCATAATTGTCCAAACTTGGAAACAATTAAGATATCCTTCAGTAGGTGAATGGATACATAAACTGGTACATTTATACAATGGAATAACATTCAGTGCTAAAATGAAATGAGTTATCAAGCCATGAAGAGACATGGGGAACAATAAATGCATGTGACTAAATGAAATAAACCAATCTGAAGAGGCTACATATTATATGAGTTCAAATATATGGCACTCTGGAAAAAGCAACCATGGATACAATAAAAAGATTAGTGATTTCCAGGGGTTGGGAGGGGAAGAGGCATTAATAGACAGAGCACAGTGAGTTTTTAGGACAGTAAAAATATTCTGTCTGTATGATATCATGATGTTGGGTATACATCATTATACATTTTCCAGACAACCAACAGTGAGCCAAAATGTGCAAATACTGTTTGATTGCTCTGATATGAGGTTATTTAGAATAGTCAAGTTCATAGCATCAGAAAGTATATTGGTAGATGCCAGGAACCAGGAGGTGGGGGTAGGTGGCGAGGGTGAATGGGGAGTTAGTGTTTAATGGGGACAGAGCTCCAGTCCAGGAAGGTAAAAATTCAGATGGGTGATGCTAAGAGTTGCAAAACAGTGTGAATGTACTTCGTGTTACTGAACTATACAGTTAAATATGGTTAAAATTGTTGGTGTTCAGTTGCTCAGTCATGCCTGACTCTTTGTGACCCCATGGACTGAAACACACCAGGATTCACTGTCTTCTCCATCTCCTGGAGTTTGCTCAAACTCATGTTCATTGAGTTGGTGATGCCACCCAACCATCTCAGCCTCTGTCATCCCCTTCTCCTCCTGCCTTCAGTCTTTCCCAGCAGCAGGGTCTTTTCTCATGAGTTGGTTCTTCATATCAGCTGGCCGAAGTATTGTAGCTTCAGCTCCAGCATTAGTCCTTCCAAAGAACACCCAGGACTGATTTCCTTTAGGACTGATTAGTTTGATCTCCTTGCGGTCCAAGGGACTCTCAAGAGTCTTCTCCAACACAATAGTTCAAAAGCATCAATTCTTAGATGCTCAGCCTTCTTTATGGTCCAACTCTCACACCCATATGACTACTGGAAAAACCATATCTTTGATTATATAGACCTTTGTCAGTAAAGTAATTTCTCTGCTTTTTAATATGCTGTCTAGGTTTGTCATAACTTTTCTTCCAAGGAGTAAGAGTCTTTTAATTTCATGGCTGCAGTCACCATCTTCAGTGATTTTGGAACCCAAGAAAATAAAGTTCTTCACTGTTTCCATTGTTTCCCCATCTATTTGCCATGAAGTGATGGGACCAGATATCATGATCTTTGTCTTTTGAATATTGAGTTTTAAGCCAACGTTTTCACTCTCCTCTTTCACCTTCATCAAGAGACTCTTCAGTTTGCTTTCTGACATAGGAATGGCGTCATCTCCATATCTAAGGTTATTGATATTTCTCTTGGCAATCTTGATTCCAGCTTGTGCTTCATCCAGCCCAACATTTCACATGATGTACTCCGCATATAAATTAAATAAGCATGGTGACAAGATATAGCCTTGACATACTCCTTTCCCAATTTGGAACCAATCCATTGTTCCATGTCTGATTCTACCTGGTGCTTCTTGACCTGCATATAGATTTCTCAGGAGGCAGGTTAGGTGATCTGGTATTCCCATCTCTTTCAGAAGTTTCCATAGTTTATGGAGATCCACACTGTCAAAAGCTTTGGCATAGTCAATAAAGCAGAAGTAGATGCTTTTCTGGAACTCTCTTGCTTTTCGATAATCCATTGGATGTTGGCAATTTGATCTCTGGCTCCTCTGCCTTTTCTAAGTCCACCTTGAACATCTGGAAGTTCTCAGTTCACATGCTGTTTTAGTCCAGCTTGAAGGATTTTGAGCATTGCCTTGCTAGCATGAGTGCAATTGTGTGATAGTTTGAACATTCTTTGGCATTGCCTTTCTTTGGGATTGGAATGAAAACTGACCTTTTCCAGTCCTGTGGCCACTGCTGAGTTTTATGAATTTGCTGGCATATTGAGTGCAGCAGTTTAAAGCATCATCTCTTAGGATTTGAAATAGATCAGCTGGAATTCCATCACCTCCACCAGCTTTGTTCACAGTGATGCTTCCTAAGGCCCACTTGACTTCATAGTCCAGGATGTCTGGCTCTAGGTGAGTGATACACCATCACAGTTATCTGGGTCATTAAGATCTTTTTTGTATAGTTCTTCTGTGTATTCTTAACACCTCCTGTTTCTCTTAGGTCCATACCATTTCTGTCCTTTATTGTGCAATTTTTGCATGAAATGGTTAAAAGAGTATGTTCTATATTATGTGACTTTTACTACAATAGTGTTAGTTGCTCAGTCACGTCCAACTCTTTGTGACCCCACGGACTGTAGCCTGCCAGGCTCTTCTGTCCATGGACTTTCTCAGGCAAGAATGCTAGAGTGGGTAGCCATTCTCTTCTTCAGGGGATCTTCCCAATTCACAGATCAAATCCAGGTCTCCTGGATTGCAGGAAGATTCTTTACTGTCTGAGCCAAAAGGGAAGTCCCTTTGCCACAATAAAACGACATTAAAAAAGGGTGAACAATAATGTAAATTATGGATTTGAAAAATATCCTGTGCCAATGTAAAGCTCATCAGTTGTAAGAAAAACTACTCTTATTAAGGATGTTGACGATGTTTGGGGCCAGGAGGTATATGGGAACTCACTCCACTTTTCTCTCAATTTTGCTCTGAATCTTAGACTTCTCTAAGAAATGACATTAATAAAGTACTAGTAAATTACTCTTAATTATAATATTTCACTTACACAAAGAATATGAATTCTGTTACTCTGAAGTTTATTTTCATGGTGCCTTTTAACTTCACCAAAAGATCAGAATCCCAAAGTAAGTTTTAATAAAGTAACATAGTACAATGTTAATAATGTTTAAACACATTCCAATGGAAAAACTGCCACCTCTTAAAAAAAAAAAAAAGAAATATTGTACTTAAAAATGATTTGTCATCAATGACTCCAGAAAAGCCTGGTGAGAGGTGACATGGTTCTGCTAAATAAGAAAATACAGTTTTAAATTCTAGGCATTCTATTAATTGCAAAGGAAAATCACATTAGAGGAACTAGTTGAGTAAGAGATAGATTGAAGTTTAATCAAACTAAAGATCCAGTGCTACTCAGATGTTCAAATCATTTGGAAAATTCACCTAAGATTTCACCTTTACCTCATTCATTCATATTGTGCTAATATCATTAATCTGCATTTTTCACATATGTTTCTTACAGAAGTTGTCCTAAGTTTATCCTGGAAAACTATGAAATTGCACATTATAATTCAGTAGGTGCAGGGTGAGGTCTGAGTATCGGGATGCCAGTGCTTCTGATCTGATGATCACGATTTTAGAATCAAGGTCTTCCAATCCCTTGAGATCATCAGAAATCATTGAACTCACCTGATTTCCTTGTTGATTGCATCGAGTTGTTCCTGAAGCATCATGGCCAGTGTCTGGGCATCAGAATGACCGCTTGGAGAGAGAAGGTCCATTGAGCTGAAGATCGTTTCTCTGTCATCATCATCAATGTCAGACATCTCTGTATCACTTTCAAAAGGGTGGCTGCTTAGCACTCCGATTTGTTGAGTTCTATTCCACTCATGATCTCCAAGAGATTTCACCTGGAAGGTAAAGGAAAAATTACAGTATATTTCATATTGCTCATTTTCAAAGCACTATTTTGAAAATAAAAACCAAAAACACATATGCTTTTATAGCTTCCTTGGCAAAAGTATAATTGATTATTAACACTTTATTTATCATGTCAATAAAATAGTTCCTTGATACTTAAGTAATGGAAGGTACTAATTTCAGCATAAATATCAATACTTTTAATAGGAATAAGAATGTTAAACTTCTGCATGATTTTTAGTTCAACCTCAACTCAAGGTAGTAATTATTTTAAAGCATATATGTTTCCAATATTTTCACTTTTTGTAAATGTAACAGTCTCTATTCACTGTATTTAAGCATTTCCATTTCTCATACTATTAACAATTAGACTGAGGGTACAAATATTTTCAGACAATAAATTATACAGGAATTCTTTCTCCTGTATTTTAACAAAGTATTAATAAAAACATTGCAAAGATTTAATTTAATCTCCACTGCTCTGGTTGCTTAAATGCCTCATTGATTTTTTAAGCCTAAGGCACATCAATTTACATAAATATGTTTTTAAAATTAATACAATACATCCTCCATATGAGTAACAGTCTTAAGTAACCAATAGACCAGTGCTTTTCAGGCTGTGACCTGAAGGCAGGAGATGGCTGAAAGAAGGAGAGCAGTCCTAGATTTTCTGCTGTTTACAAGTGGACTTTCATTTTTGTGATGATATAAAATGATTTTGGGGGGGACCACAAAAGTGATATTGCCCAAAAGCCCATTTATTTGGCCACATGGCATAATAGATAAAAGTATGGAATTTGAAATCAAATATAAACACAAGTTTAGACTTATCATTTGGCTGACTGCGTAAGGTAGGACACATAAAATTCCTGAACTTCAATTTTTTTCATACATGAAATTAGTATAAAATAGTACTCAATTTATAAGGTTATATGAATAAATACTTGACACATGCTTAGTTCAACTTCTGGTACCTAGCAGGTGTTTTATGTTGGACTTCCCAGGTGGCGCTAGTGGTAAAGAACCCTCCTGTCAAAGCAGGAGATATAAGAGACTCGAGTTCAATCCCTGGGTCGAGAAGATCCCCCTGGAGAAGGGGATTCTTGCCTGGAGAGTTCCACAAAGAGAAGAGCCTGGTGGGCTATCGTCCACAGGGGCATAAAGAGTCAGACATGACTAAAGTAACTTAGCATATGCACAGGGATTTTATGTTAGCTATAGTTTTAAAAAAGAAAAATCTGTCATATGTCACACCTGAAACTAATACAAATGAATGCTTTCAGTATAAAAATACTATCCAAAATGGAAGAGCATATTTACTTAAACCATCAAAAACTTGAAATCAAAAGTTTAACCTTTGTCTCATCTCTCCTCACACCCATGCGGCCTCTCCTTGGTCTTCTTATTACTTTAGTTGTTCTGTAATCAGACTGGCTGTCCACTAGGGATCCAACAGAATACCGCAGCTCGGCGGAGGTGTCTAGATGAGTTCTGGAAATAAGGAAAACTTATCAGCAAATCATTATGCACCACTTAATTGGCAACAAAACTCAAACCCTCAAGGGGGAAGAAAATATGTTATAAATCTTAGAGGTCTCTTCAGAGGCCTATGTCATAAATTTCAGTCTCAGGTTCATTCTGAAGATCAGGTTCATTTGAGAACATTAAAAAGCCTTTCTGTTCATTCATTATCATTTTCAAACTCACTAGTCTATTGAAACATGTTAAGATTGACAATCAATATCCATTGGCTTACATTCTGGCAACTCTGTTTTATTTTGAGCTATTTAGTGGATAATCCAATACATTTATCACTGCGTTTGTTTTGTGTTTGTTTTAAATATTCTTCACTAACCTAAAAGAAAAATGTGTAAACTTTTTGAGTCACTGCATTATCTATTTTCCACTGTTTTGTTTTTCAATGTAGGAAATCAACAAAATACTTAAAATCAGATTGACCTAAGGTTAATAATTTTTTTTTTTTTGGAAAATAAAATAGGATAGTCCACCAGAAGTTTTTCAGGTTTTGATAAGACATTGTTCCAAAAATTTTAAGGAAGGATCTTTTAATAAGCACATTCAATTCTTAAACCTGCTTACAGATGAAACACTGAAAATTCTAATCAGAAAATATCATCAGACTAATTTTCAATAAACATGAAAATAAAGTACATTGTAATCAAAGTGCACTAAACGTTTCTCCAAGTATATTATTTATATATGGATTTATATAAAATTAAGTTTACAGCTACAGTAATGATGATAATAACAAATGCAACATGCTGTCATATAAAATGATCCATCATCATTAGGAAATATTCTTAAAGCTGTTTTCTCTTGAACTTGGGGCTTCTGTTGATCTACTATGCTCTTACTCTCAGTTCTCTTTGTGGACAAAAACAAACATCTCCAAATACTTGGCAAAACTATAAAAGGTTAGGTGAGTTCTGGGTTTTTGAAAAAGTAGAAGACACTGACTTAATTGATGCAGGTTCTTGTTTAGCCCAATTGGATGTTAAAGCAGATGAACTAAGGAATCATCCTCGAAATAGATGACAGCTATTGTTTTTATAGCAGCAAACTTGAGGCTTAATCAGGCAAAATGGCTTTACTGTGAGTTAGTTATATATTAAAAACTAGCCAATCAGGCCACAGCCATTAAATGGCACAACTGTCAGTTTTTATTTATAGCCGAGGATGTAAGTTTTATTAAGCTAAAGATCAGATTTTAGTCACCATTGTGTGTTCAAGGAGATATTCCTAGAATGTAATAAGAACTTGATAAATATCTGGTAAGACAAGAAATGAATGCAATTGATTATATTAATAATATAGTCCAAACTGTTCAGGTCAGCATATTCCCTGTCTAAGGAAATTTATTGGTCTGTGACTGCTTAGGGTAATATCTGTGGGCACTAGAGTTTCTAAAATTATAACTCATCATGCTAGGAGTATTGTTTTCTTGTGTTTTATCTTTCAATTCCAGGTCATCAATAAAAACATTAAATAAACATTGATCCCATTGATGGGATCAAACAGGTCCCACTGATGCCCTGCTCACAACTCTTCATTGTTCTTACAAGGCCCTCTACCTGGGCTTCTTCTACTTTCCACTTTCATTTTCATTTACTCTCAAACTCATACTTTCTTTTGATTCAAGCCTTTGGACCTGCTATTCTTTCTGTCTCTTCACTCATTTATGTGATCACTATTTCTTAAGTTTCAATTTAAGCTGAGGCTTAAAAGTCTCAATGTCATCTACTATTCTAGCTCCTGGTATTCCCTGTATGAATGCGAATTCCCCAGGTGAATGTGAATTCCCTGTGTGAATGTGAATGTGTTAGTCGCTCAGTTGTGTCTGACTCACAGAGTCCGTGGACTGCAGACTGCCAGGTTCCTCTGTTCATGAAATTTTCCAGCAAGAATACTGGAGTGGGATGCCATTCCCTTCTCCAGGGGATCTTCCCGGCCAGGTCTCCTGCATTGCAGGCAGACTCTTTATTGTCTCAGCCAACAGGGAAGCCCTGCAATCTTCAAATTTGTATTTGTGCATTTTCCATCTGGAACATGTATTCTTCACTACCATCACCACTATATCTCCAATGTCACAACATCTCACAAGTAGAAAGCACTTAAGTATCTTGAAAGAACAAAAGACCTGAACCAACACTAATTGTAGGAAGGCATTGCTTATACTTCATTTGAAGCAGTTACTCCTCACCTCCCTCCTTTTATTCAACTCTGATCTGTCAGAAGCAGTATTTCCATATATTTCAATTTTAAAATTATTTTTGGTGTACAATATTTTGAGAGGCATTTGCAGATGTAAGTTACAATATAGTCACTGGTTCCTTTAAGTAAGGAACCATGTAGCTTCCCCTCCAGAAGCTCCTGGGACTCTTGAATGCAATCTCATAAAGGAACTTGCATAGATAAGTAGGTATGAATTTTCTTGGAGAAAACCTGTTGCTCATTACTCTGCTTCCTGGGATGTTCTTCATTATTCTCTGCAATTATCCAGATCCTAACCTTTCTCCAGAGATGAGCCAAATCAGGCCTTTTCCAGTCACTCTGGAACTCATTTTTCTTTCTTATCATCATCATTACCATATATATCACTGAATTAATAAGTTCAGTTCAGATATATAAATCATAATAAAACATTAGAAAAATAAATATTATTTTCAAAATCAAAGATCTACATATCTAAAAATTCCTTGGGTGTATTTATACCTGCAGTACTGTGTTTCTTATATTAAACTGAATTCAAAATTATAAAGTTTGTTTTTATTAATACTCACATTGAAGAGAATGCAAATACTTTTAGGATTTTTTTTAATTTGGATTTTTCATCTGAAAGCTTGAAAAATGCTTTACTAGATACGCATTTCTTCAACAATATCCATTGAGAGTCTAATATATACATATTTTTTGGGGGTGCTGAAATTATAGTACTCAAAACAGGCAAAAAACTCCAACCCTTGTGGAGCTAACATTCTTAGGATAAGTTTAAGACCCCCCCCAAAAAAGCACTTTTATAATAGAAGTCTGTGGTGGTCAAAAGTTTCAAATAGCTGATATTGTGTTGTTTAACAAGTAAATGCTTGTTATCAAATTAGATATGTGTCTATCTACATAGTAAATAAGCATCTCTTTGCTTTTTTTTTTTTAAAGATGAGGTGTTTGTCAAAGTAGCTGAGTACAAAGAAATTTACTTGAAAATGTTTTAATGTATTTCTCCTTCCTTCTTTTGCCTTGACAAAACAGATCATTACCAATGATGAGTAAATATAAGTAATCATAACCAATGATGTTTCTTCAGTAACAATGATGTTTCTTCAGGATACACTGAAAACATTTCTGCATGTAGAGAAAATGACTGATGCCTCTTCCTAGAAAAACATGTAATCTCTGTATCCATAGTTCCACTTCTTAAGAAGACATATATTTCTATATATATTAAATGAAGAATACAAAAGGCAATGATTTATATTTTATTGTATGTTTGAGGAAAGAATGACTAAATTAGAGAATTATTTTGGAGCATAGAAGCTATAAATCAGTAAGGAATCAAAACAGCAATGCCTGCTGACCAACAGAAAGTACTTAGTTTATTTGAGGAGATATAAAACCCATAAGAAAATTCACATTGATTTTTGGTGAACTATAGATAAGCTTTTAATTTAATATTACCTTGACATTGTGGGTTCAATTAAAGAGCCAGTTCTCATTTTCAATTGGTCAAGTTCAGATCTCAGCTTTTCAATTTCTTCTGCTAACCTTTCCTAAAAATCAAAGAGGTGTTACTCGGATGATAGGCATATACCAATAATACCAACATTCGATTATGATAAACCAACTACTAAGCTTAATAACTTTCTAAAAATGGAAAAATAATTAATATATTTTATTAAATATTGTTAGATATGACAGCAAAAAAATGCCTGACTTTCCCCTTGAGATACAAATGTAACAGCAGAAATTAATACAATTTTACCCACATTCCCTAGTACTCACTAATCCTAAATCTTTCTAAACATATGGGAAAACTAAGGTCATGACTAGCTGTACATATGTCACTTCAAAATCAGAGTAGAAAGCATAGCAGTTTAAAAAATTAAGAAAAGAATGATAAAAAGTCATCACCTGATATGAGCTAAAATTATTAACTTGATATTGGTACAATAACTTGTGCATCTGAGAATTTTCTAAGATTGGCATTATCAGTTTCAGTCTGTAAACTTATGAAGACAAGGGTGCTCTTATAGCCCTTAATTAAATGCTCATGTAAGCACTCAGTTTTGTTTTCATGATTATAAATTTTATAACATTATAAATGTTTAAATGTATCCTTCTGTATTTTCCATTGCTATTAGTTCTCCTCCTTGCAGGGGCTAATGCTGGCCACTTGACTGGACTCGGGCTTCTTTTCTCACCGTGACCTTTTGTGAGTGTGGCCTTTGCAATGTTTATCGTATCTGCTCTTTTTATTCTTTCTACTGCCATCCTATGTTACACATATTTTTACCTTTTTCCTGAATTATTTTACCAACTTCCACAGAGGCATTGTTCCCTTCCATCTCTTCCCCATACATTCCTCTGCTAGCTGTATCATTTTTAAAGACATGCATGATCAAATAAAACTCTTGCTTATAGTTATCTGATAATTCTATTTATTAATACATTTATTCACTATTTCCACAAATACACAATGAGCACCTCTTTTGCGGTAGGCTTTAAGATACAGCATGCATGCTACAGCAGTGAGCTATCAAATTTCCTGCCCTTATGTAATTTACAGTCTAGCAGAAATGACAATAAACAATTTGGGTTTATAGGATGTTGGTAGGAAGTAGAAAATAGAAGAGTAAAGGAAGGCTCTGAATTAAGTGATATTTGAGTAAAGACCTAGAGAAAGGGAGGGAGTTAAAAAAATACCTTAAGGAAAGGAATGGCAAGTAGAAGGAATGGTGGGTGCAAAGGCCTCTTAGGGGACTACATTTGGTGAGGGAGAGGGCTAGGAAGCTTTTGTGTCTGAACTGGAAAAGTTAAGGAGAAAGGCAAGCGGTAATGGGTTCAGGAAATCACGCTAACAGGATTTGGTAAGGCCTTAAAGTGTCTGGCTTTTACTCCCAGTGAGATAGAAAGTGACTTGGGGATTTTTGAGCAGAGAAGTGACCTCATGATTTTGATGGCTGTGAGGTGAAGTGATGAATGGGACTGGAAGGCAGGAAAGAAAGAAAATTATCACTGCTATTCCAAAAACAGGCAAGAGGATTATGGCTCGGACAAGCACGGTGTCAGAAGGGGATGGCAAGGGTATTGGTTGCATTATGAAGACAGAACTGAGAGAATTTGCTATTGAACTGGCCAAGGGGTATGGATAAAGAAAGAGTTCAAGAATAGCTCCAAGATTTTTTTTTTCATTTATTTTTATTAGTTGGAGGCTAATTACTTTACAACATTGTAGTGGGTTTTGTCATACATTGACATGAATCAGCCATGGAGCTCCCAAGATTTTTAACCTGAATAATTAAGGGGAAGAAGTTGTGATCTACTGACATGACTGCTGGGTGGTGATTAGGTTAGTTGGTAGTTTGGGGAGTTGAGGGGGTTACTTGTTAAGATTGAATGACCATGTGTCCAAATAGAGATAAAGAGTAGGCTCTTGAATAAATGAACTCTTTCAGGAACAAGGACCCAGTACATGATCTAAATTTGTAAGTTCTCAATTTACAGGCAGTATTTAAAATCCATGAACTCACCAAGGACTGAACATACAAAAGATATCCAAGGATGGTCCTAGGAACTTTAGAGATCAAGATAATGAAGAGAAGCATGAAGAAAAGAGGTTCAGTATATGAAGGATTTTATTCATAATGGACTTTGCTGCTGCTGCTAAGTCGCCTCAGTCATGTCCGCCTCTGGGAGACCCCATAGATGGCAGCCCACCAGGCTCCCCCATCCCTGGGATTCTCCAGGCAAGAACACTGCAGTGGGTTGCCATTTCCTTCTCCAATGCATGAAAGTGAAAAGTGGAAGTGAAATGCTCAGTCATGTCCGACTCTCAGCAACCCCATGGACTGAAGCCTGCCAGGCTCCTCCATCCATGGGATTTTCCAGGCAAGAGGACTGGAGTGGGGTGCCATTGCCTTCTCCATAATGGACTTTGGGTTATAGATAATTGAGTGGAAATTTGAGGAGTTATAGGAGATGTGGTTAGATTAGGAAATGTGTTCAGCTGTATGGAATGACATTCAGAAATGACGTATGACCTGGGATTTGCTTCCTCTAGAGACTGACATGGACAGGGATGTAAAGCATGGAATGATTTGTACTGCTGATTGCCTGGGCAGACTGTTGGAGTTATAAGGTTCAGGTAGGTGGTTGGGGAGTGGGTTCTGGGGATCTTGCCAGAAGCACACAGAGCTTTGAATAACATAATATTCCATAATAGGATCGAGTCCAAAATTTCACAATCTGGTAACATTCTAGTCCTTTAAACACAGACCAGTCACAGCAAACTTCTGGTGCTTCAGCAAATCAACCATCGTTGTTTTCTCTCCACACTATTGCATAGGTTTTGTCCTCTTCCCTACCTTCTCTGTTGGTTATGATCATATGTGCCTTCAAGAGCTTGATGAAATGTCATCTTCTTCATGCAGACTTTCTGAACTACTCCAGAAAGAATTAGATGCTATCTTCTAGGCACCATACTGAATTGTTCTAATACATCTGTCTTTCAGGGGATAAGAGTATATACATCCTGACTGTGGGACAAAATAGCTACTTTTAAATTAATATAATATGTAGCATTCAATACAGTTAGATGTACAGTTGTTCCTTCTTATCTTTATTCTCTCATCTTTTCCAATACCTTCCAAATGTCATATGTTGTCAGATCTTCCGTCCCTTCCTTCCCCTCTCCTTTCCTCCCTCTCTCCCTTCATTGCTTTCTTCCGTCCATCTGTTCTTCCTTCCCTCTGTTACTCCCTCTTTCCCTCCCTCCCTCCCTTCTCTATTTCCATTCCTTTCATCTTTTGTTGAGCACACATTTAATAAGTCACTTATTAAGAGAGTGATTTGGTATTACTTCATTTACCTATGCTGAACAAAATAAGACAAAATTTCTAACAAGAATTGTACATGCTAAGGAAGGAGGGAAAGACATTATCAATTACAGCTTTTAACATTTCATAATCTGGTCCTTATCTGTCTAGTCTATCATGTATTCTACAATAAGAATAACTGATTCCAGTAAAACTTTTAAGCCCATTATTATTTAAGATCTCAAACCTAACTACTCATCCTCTCCCCACTCTAAGCACCCACAATCAGGGCACAGGTACTGTATTTGAAAGACTTGCACCACAGTCCTGTGTTTCCTTAAAGTTTTCTGAAACCTTCTTTAGGGCATCAGTGTATGGTGATCTCTCTTACCTGTAGTTCTTATTGTCTGTTTCACTCATTTGGCACTTGGCATATGCTACTCTACAATTCATTGCTTTGTGATTTTTCTCCTGAGACTTTTTCAGATACGAACCAAGATTGTGTTTGCAAAGATGTAACTTATCACAACTGTTATGCACAATAGATATTTAATACATTCCAGCTAAATGTATTAACTAGACACAAATCAGTGCATATATTTTTATATAAAGTTCAAAAAGCCAAAATAATTTTTCTTTCTCTGTTAGCAGTCTAGATAGTGATTATCCTTTAGGATAAAAGTAGTGATTACAGGCTAACAACGGGGGCTTCCAGGATGTTGATTTTTAGTGTGTTGGCTTATAAAAATTTATCAGGCTCTCTTTCTATATGTATACTTTTCTGTATGTATTATATAAAATTTAATTATTTTAAAAGATAACATCCTAAAATTATTATCAAATTTATTTTACAAAAAAAATTCACCACTGTGAAATAGAAAAGTGGACAAAATATAAGCTTCCATAATACCTTATCATGTAAAGATTCTTCCAGATTCTTTCTGAAAGTTTCTGATTCTTGAATTAAAACATTCTACAGAAAAGGAAAGAAGAACAGATAAATAATTAATAAACTAAGGAGAAAATCATTCAATGTGTAGATTAATTTTATCTGACTCAAGAATTTTCTTTGATTCCTTCCTTGGCACCATCTATTTTTTGGTTTCCATGGAAACTAAGTTTCAATGGAATCTTTAAACAAGACACTTGAACATTTTTAGAAATACATAATTAAAATGGGAAATGTCATTTTGTAACAGTTGGATTGACAAATAAGAAAACTATTAACTTTTAAACTATTTTTGTCAACCTCTTCTTAGTCTTTTTAAAATCTGAAATAATCAGTTTACTCTTTAAATGAGAAAAAGTAAATAAAAAGCAAAATATTAGTCAAAGCTGTCACAGAGAAGTCAGATGAACTCATTTTTATTACCTGAAGAAAGAAAAATTTAAGATCATATATTTTAAAGATTCAATTTCTGAACCTTTATTTCATATACAGAATGAACAATTTCTAATAATGATTAAGTTATTAAATAAAAATAAAATTTAGCTATTTAAAAATCAATGTTACATGTCATGATATATAAATAACTTGCATGACAGATTTTTAAAAATTCCTTGCCATAAAAGTATTACTATTTTAAAAATATTTATATTTTTCTTATAGTATTACAAAGCATGATTTATAATAATGCATTCTTTTTAAATTTATAGATTAAAATTAAAGTAAGAGTTTGGTAACTGGCTTGCATTTGGAACTGAATAGGAAGAAGGTATGCCTTATGACTTGATGGGTAAACTGATCAAATTTCTTTAACATTTTCTTGAAACATTTTTCCTGTTTTGGTTTAGTGTATGGAGCAGGGGGAAATGTCTAGTTTAAGTAGTGACTGGCATTCAGTCTAAATTTCCAAAATGATTTCTCCACCTGGGTTTTAATCCCTACCTTTTTTATATCATGGAACTGGCAACCAGCTGACATAACTTTTGTTGATCTGGTAGTTGCCAACTATTAATGAGACATATAAATTGTGAGTGAAATTGCAGATTGTACAAAAGCCCGATTTTGGAAATAATATGGCTGAAAGCATTGCATTTCTAAATTCTGTGGTGAGATTGACAATGGTTTTATTGGTGATATAAACTCACTCATAGTTTGGCTTTTAGATTAGTAGCAGATTCAAATACTTGAAACATTTGAATGGTTCATATCAAACCTCCCTACCGTCCAACTCCAAAATACTATTTTTTGTCTTAATTTTTTTTGCATACCAGGTGAGAAATAAATGAAACACTTTCATTGCAAAAGCATACCACATTTCAATACATTTGTCTATATGATCATGCTACACATGTTATATAACATGTAACTTTTTTCATTCACTTAAAATTTAATCTTACATATTTTTATAGAAGCCATTTGTTCACTTTTAAGATGTATCAGGCTCCTTTCAAATTAAAGAAAGTAAATGGATCCTCTGACCAATACTATGATTGCAGCAGAGCATAGAACAAGCATGATCATAAGAATATAGCTAATAATCATGTGATTTTACTGTTGGTCATGTTACCTTCTCTTCTAGAGCAGCCATCCGTTCCTTTAAATGTAGCTGTAAGCGCTCATTGGATTCTGTCAGAAGTCTGTCCACAGTATCAGATAATCTTTTGTTGTGCTCCTCATTCATTTTCTCTCTTTGCCTAGCCTTATATCCAAATAAATAAATTTAACATAAGAATCATTTAAAAATTATTTGGGCTTGTTTTTATATTTTTTCTAGTTTAAATACTGGATTTAATTTTATGTTTGTTTTGATTAAACTGGCAGAAGCTCTTTTTTTTAATGCATAGGGTATATCCATATGATTTTAAATATAACCCATAATCAAGAAAGGCATTCATTTCTTTTTGTGTGTGTGTGTTTTCTTTTTTTTCATTTATTTTTATTAGTTGGAGGCTAATTACTTTACAATATTGTAGTGGTTTTTGCCATACATTGACAAGAATCAGCCATGGAGTTACATGTATTCCCCATCCCGATCCCCCCTCCCACCTCCCTCTCCACCCGATCCCTCTGGGTCTTCCCAGTGCACCAGGCCCGAGCACTTGTCTCATGCATCCAGCCTGGGCTGGTGATCTGTTTCACCCTAGATAATATGCATGTTTCGATGCTGTTCTCTCGAAACATCCCACCCTCGCCTTCTCCCACAGAGTCCAAAATTCTGTTCTGTAAGGCATTCATTTCTTATAGGTAGAGTATAAACCCATAAACTGATGCTTGAGAGGGATGGCTCTTAAAATACATACTCTTTGAAGCTCTTGATTTTTCTCTTCGAGTTGACCTTCGAGATGCCTCATCCGTTCTTCAATATTTCCGTGTCTTTCTTCAGCCTGTTAAGAAACATGAAGAATGCACCTGACACGTAAGGTGTGGTTAAGACTCTTCCTCTAAATAAACTGAAATAAAATGTAAAGCAAGCTACTACCAACTGCAAATGTAGTTTTCAAAAAATAAACTTTCTTTCAACAGGCAGCTGAACAGCATTGCTTGAAATGTGTCAGCTACAAAGGCCTGTCACATCCAAGCATCAGCAAAACATTGGAGTTATTTATGAGCAATGAGATCAGCCAAATGTAACATGCAGACTGTGCATGGTTTGAACACAAACCTGCCATTGTCCAATCTTAAGCTCCTGAAGCACTCAACTGCACAGATGGTCGATTATCAATAAATAAAAAGTAACAAAATTTTTAGAAATGAAAAGAAAAAATTAGATGGATTCTATTTAGCAATAGAAAGTAAAGTCCAGTAGGACTACCTTCCTACGTATGGAGATCATTTCTTGTAGTTTAGCTTCCATAACATATTGATAATCATCAGATGAGGTAGAAGAGGTTGGATCAGACTAACAAGTCAAGGAAAAGGAGAGGGACAAAATTGAAAAATCAGAACGAAAGACACTGGCACTGAACAGAACATAGCACAGAATGCTTAAAAGAAAAGTGTGACAGCAAATTTAATACTTTAATAGACAGAATTGTATGTGGAAAGAACTACACTGATATTTGGTGAACATGATGCAGTTGATGGTTGTAAGTGAAAAACAATGATATGCTCAAATAAAAAGCTCCCAACCTAAGGTATGAAGGGTTAGTGATGGCTGGCGATGAAAGATTACTACAGAACGAATTAAAGCAACTCTGAGAGAGTCATGTAATAGTTGGAATTATGGGAAACCAAACACTAGAATATGCTTCTGATGCACTATCAAAAGTTTTATGTTTTGGTCTGTTATATTACTTAAAAATAATGGAAACAGTGTACCTCAATGATGAGGAGTAGGCCAAGGCAATGATCTCAGGTGAAATAAATTTGGAACAGTATTTATTATAAACCCAACTCTGTAGAAATCAGAGAAGAAGCTAAGCTATGGGTTTAATTATTATGGGGTTAATTAATAATTGGAGTATTCTCCAATTCAAGCAGGATTGAGTTTTCTCAGCAACAGTGGCAAACTTACAAAATGACTTCTGGTCTCTGAATACACACTATGGTTGTAGGTGTAAAACCTTAGCATCTACTCTTAGACACAGCCTTAATTTGACATTTTAAATGAAAATGATTAAAAGTCCTCAAAGTACCAAAGTGACGATAGTGCTGTGAGGACAAGAACACCTAGAGTGAACTTTCCTGAATGAGACAAGGGGCCACTCCAAAACTGACTCTGCATTGATTTGTTGCTATGGAAACTAAAGAGTGCCCTAAAGTGGAAGAGCCGCACAGTGCCTTTGTGAGCTGCTGTTTGCCCAGTGACAAGGTTAGTTACTGTTTTGGAGGTGAATGTCAGGTAACCACAGATGCAGAGTGTTCAACATATGACATTGCTGATAGCTGAATTGTATTAGTATGTTATGCACAGATTACATGTAAAGTTACATCAACATTTTAATCGTAACTACAAGTTAAATAATCACAACAGTCAAAATACCTTATGTCAGTATAAACAATATTTAACTCCAGAGCATATTCTATTACATTTTAAAAGTTTATTCTAAAACAGTGAAACTTACTTTATGCAAATATAAGACTATATATAAATATGTCATGCAGTACCTGAAAAGAAATAGTAACCTATTCATGTATTGGTTCATATGCATATGTGCTATTTTATGCAAAAAATTCCAACTTAATCTATAAAATGAGCATTTAACATTTAACTCATGGGCTTATGTGAAGTATAACTCAACATTTACATTTTGTAAGATTTTCCTTCTGATATTCTTATTTCATAAATTGGCAAAGTAATGAAGAAAAAAGAAATAATCAATTTATCTCCCCAAATCTCCAACCAGAAGCAATACAGAATGCTACCATAGTCTTCAAATGCTAGAAAACAATTTTATAATATTATTTAAAATTTATAATTCAATTATTAATACTGTATATAGGTCAAAATATTGCTGAAATGATATACTTTAAATTCTTAAACAGATCTGTAATCTCTCGAAATTAAATTTTAACAAGTAATGTTATGAGAATTGGTCAGGTGATTGATTCAAGGTAGTCAAAGCATGAACATTTCTATTTCCAAAACTGTTCATTCCAATATACAAGTAAAGTCAGTATATCTTTCAAAGGTCCTTAAAAATTCTAGCTGTTTACATCTTAACTATTGAAAACACACCACACATTGTGAAACTTCACTTCAGAGATTAAACAAGAATTCTGTCATATTTAAATCACTATGTTTTGTTGATATTTTTATTGGTACTAAAAATGGATGAAATACCTTATGAAATTCAAGATGAATTATGTCCTTGTTGAGGGAATATGCATTTTAATTAAAGAAGTAAACATCATAAATCAAAAGATTGGGAGCCCAAAATGTTTATTAGTTGTGTATTCACTCACCAAAGCCAAATTTTTCATTTTATCCCTGGCCACCAGCATTTAAAACTTTTGACTTCCTGAAAGCCTTAAATGAGCTTGAGCTATCTATTTTTACACATACACACACATACATACATACATACCACCAGCAGAAGAAAAGATTGTCTTATCAACCAAACAGTAAATTCAGACATCATCTCTAAACAAGAGCTGGATAAGTGTGCAAGAACTACTGATTTATGTTCATCTTAACCTGAGGAAGACTGCAATTTAAGAAAATGATGTAAATACTGCTGTTGCTGCTAAGTCGCTTCAGTCGTGTCCGACTCTGTGCGACCCCATAGATGGCAGCCCACCAGGCTCCCCCTGTCCCTGGGATTCTCCAGGCAAGAACACTGGAGTGGGTTGCCATTTCCTTCTCCAGTGCATGAAAGTGAAAAGTGAAAGTGAAGTTGCTCAGTCGTGTCCAACTCTTCACAACCCCATGGACTGCAGCCCACCAAGCTCCTCTGTCCACGGGATTTTCCAGGCAAGAGTACTGGAGTGGGTTGCCATTGCCTGCTCCGATGTAAATATTAGAGTCATGCAAAAACAGTCTGCAATTTTATGACTCCTTGATGGGATACAGGGCTTATCTTACTTTCACTTTCTGACGTGAACAGACAATTTTCAAACGAGCTAAAGTTTTAGAAAAAATTACAGGAAGAAATGGTTTTGAGAAGAATGTGGATATATTTGGAAATGGAGAAGGAATTAAAATTAAAGAGAGGAGGGCCAAAGAGAAGAAAAAGTACATAACAGATAATAAAAGAAAAAATACATATAGATCAAATAAAATATATGAAAGATTGTTAATAAAATCATTCAAAACATAGGATAGGGAGTCTAGATTTAAATTAAGCATATATCACAAATTAGTGAGAAATCAAAAATATTATGAAGTAGAAAAAGACTATGGAGATCAATAATAGTAAGATACTGAAAACAAATGGGTATTGAAACAATGAACAACTAAAGCTGGTTTTAGAGACAGTCCCTTTAGGTCTTGAGAACAGAAGATAAGAAAATGCTTAAAAATTATTTTAGCCATCAAACTTGGGAGAGCAAATGAAAGACTGAAAGACTGATCTTCAAATGTTATAAAAGGGTTATAAGCAGAGGGAGTACATTGAAAATAAAATCTCAGAGGAGTGTGAATAATGAATTAAATATGGCCATTTGAAAACTATATATCTGAAATAATGTGTTGATATACAGCCAGTCAGTAGAGAAAACAGCAAAAAGGACAAGCAGAGTGAATTCTAGCAGCTTCACACATTTTAAGAGAGATAAAACTGCACAAAAGGGAGGAAATCAAAAGGTCTAGATGAAGTAGAAGTTTAGTAATGTATTATTAGGTAGGAGTAAACTGAGGAAATACTTTGGGTGCATAAATGAATATAGGATCAAATATGATTCCAATACAATTAAATGGAGGGCAAGACAAATGAGATACCTACTTTAAGTTACTTTTAAATTCTAAATTAAGGATTCTTAGGGATATTTAATTAAAGCCTCATTTGTCAAGTATTATATTTTAAATTATGCTTTATTCTCAATCAATCAGAGGTTAATTTGGGGCAAATTTGCTAAATTTTAAATTGTGTTTTTGGGAGTGAGAGTCCAGACTTTCTTGTATTTTACTCACACAATATTGATAACTATTTTATACTAAAATATCACAAAAGTTCCTTTTATTATATAACCACTTGCCTAACTCCTTCTAAAATATTTCAATTCAGTAAGATAACTATAAAAATCCTTTATATTCCTCAGATGAAAAGCCTAAGTACACATATCTCAATCCATATTACAGTAATTTAAAATGTGCTTCCAAAAAATAGAATACTACTAATCTGTTTGTACTTTTTATATAATTTCAAGAATATTTCTCAAATTAAATAAGTTTATATTTATTTTAGAAAGCATACAGTTCTGAAACTGCCAGAATGGTTTATGGTAATCTGATCTGTGACTATAGAAGGATCCACATTGTATCACCCTAACCAGACAAAAGTTCTGTTCAGCTAGTTAGTCCAGTAACTCTACAGACACCCAACTATTCCAATACTTTCTACTTTGGCAACTGTTGGTCCTTTCACTATCTGATTAACTACCCTATGTTAATGAGCAGGATCAGTTTACTGTTCGTCTCTAGTCATTTGCTTTTTCTGGAACCAACAATGTGTGCCTACTTTTACTCTGCTGCATCAGTTGTTCTGGATAATCCCTAATATCAAAGTTTATAATTTGCAGTTTACATATCTATCTGAGCCATTTACTACAATGGCACGAAAAAAAGCTTCCATGACCTAGGAGCCTGGCAGGCTACCATCCATCCTTGGGGTCGCAAAGAGTCAAGACATGACTGAGTGACTAACACTTTCACTTTTCACCAACAATGTTTAAACATCTAAAATGTGTGCACATTTTTGAATTGACATTAAAATTCAAACATGCTTTTAGTGACAAAATCTGGACTTTTATTCTAGTGACATGCATATACACTTTGAAGCAATTGCCATTTCCATTTAACTGTGAAAGGTAATAGTCATTTGGGTTTCCCTAGCGACTCAGCTGGTAAAGAATCCACCTGCAATGCAGGAGACCTGGGTTCAATCCCTGGGTTGGGAAGATATCCTGGAGAAGGGAAAGGCTACCCACTCCAGTATTCTGGCCTGGAGAATTCCATGGACTATTCCATGGGGTTGCAAAGAGTCAGACATGACAGAGCAACTTTCACTTTACAACATTATAATGGTTGCTAAGTTCTAAAATTAGCAAATAATTGCAGAACTTAATGTCCATAATGGAGCAGTTAATTCTGAACATTCTTCAGAATATTATTGATTTTATTGGTTCAGAAGAAATTTCAACTACTAAAATCACTTTCTGTATTTATTTCTAACAAATTTTTTTCATACTGTAATCAGAAAGAAATTGCTTATGATCCTTCCTGCATTTTTAAAACTGTACAATTTATATTAAGCTTACTAAACTATTATGTCTCATATATATCCATGTTAAAATCATCATTATGTTTTTATATTTGGTGATTATTCTTATGTACCCATATTACCATGGAAAATTAGCTATAAGAACATGAAACTTTGTTTTTGCTAATGTTTAAATAGGCAAAGAAATAATCACATTCATTTATCAATCATTGATTTCAACATAAACAGGATATATGTATATAAGAAGTCATCTAAACAACAGACCAATATAATATAAACTCCATAAAGCCTAAATAAAATCTTTATAGATTCCATTTTGATTACTAGCCATCTCTGTAAGTATTAACATATCTAGGTTGACCAGTTGTTTTATTGTAGTACCTTTGTCAAGGCTGCGATTCTCTGAGCCAATTCAGCCTCTACTTCAGGTAAGGTCTCAGCTTTTCTCATAGTTTGCTGCAACTTTTGCTCAGCCAGCTCAAGACGCTCTTGTAACTGTCTATTCTTCTCTTCCATCTGAACCAGGGATGAAAAAAGAGACACTTAAATTGTCACAGTTAGGATAGCAAATACCAGTCACTAGGGGCTGTGGGCTTCAGCCTTTATCCTAGAGTTAAAATCTGCTAGTACTACCACATGTTTTCATATATTGCTTATCAATATTCCTTAATAAATTTAGCACATAAAAAATGAAAACCTTTTACCAACAACAGCAAAAAGAAATGAAGTTAATAGTGAGAATTAACTTGGACAAATGAGACACAACTTAGTACTGAAACCTCAAATGCACCATAAGAGCAATTTACTGAAAATCTTAACATTAGCGACAGTAGGAGAGGGAATGGATCATAATGATTGAGAGTTCAGGCTCTGGAGATGAAGTTGGGAAACTTCTGCTAAGGACCAGATAGTAGATACTTTGGGCTCTGTGTATCACAAAGTCTCTGATCCACCTATTCAATTCTACTGTTGTAGCAGGAAAGCCGTCAAAGATGATGATTAAATGAGTGGATATGGTTATGTTTCGATAAAACTACACTTATAAAACAGAGCCATGGTTTTGGCATGTGGGCTATAGTTTGCCCATTCCTTCTCCAGAGCTGGACAGACCTACGCTTCCACTATTGATTGCAATTACTGTATGTGTGACTCTGGGAAAGCAGTCATGTTCTCTGAACCTGGCTTCCTCAGTATAATAAATGTACTTACTTTACTCTCAGTAAAATAATTGTGTAATAATTATTATACTTTACACTATAATGATTGTACTTACAGGTGGTGGCTGGATTTAAGTGAGGTTTTATAGATATATATATATATATTGGTTAGCATAGTTTCTGGTTCATGTCTAGATCCAAAGTAAATATTAGTCGTTATTTTTAAGACAGATTTCTAGATTATATACTGAAAATCACATCTATTTAGTTAGCTTGATTCTAAATTGCAGAGAATAATTTATTGCTAAGGAATACCACATTTTACGTACTCCAGGTTTTGTGAGAATGGTGAGAACACAAACCGACCAGAAGGAAACCAAGACGGAGATACTGAACCTGCCGTAGGATGGCCTCTTTATTCGCTAGCTCATTTTCCAGCTTGTCGTTCATGTCGTGGATGGAGGTAGATTCTCTCTGAGCACTGAGGTACCGCTTCTCAAGGGTCGTGATTCTTTCTTCCATGTCTTCCTTCTGTGCCATAGCCTAAAATGAAAATAATTAAAAATCAAATCAGATTCTCAGTTTGTGTATTGTCTTATTATCATTTAAATAAAATAGTAAGATATAAAAAAAAACCCATTGCTTTCTCAAGGTAAATTTCATTCTTTTCTTTTCATAAAAGGGATGCAGGATTTCATATGTGTTTTCTCAGCTTATCTGTCAGAATTCTTACATCTTGGGTTAGCAAAAAGCATTGTCTCTTTGAGAATGCAACAAAGTACATTTTAAATCTCCCTACTGTACAACTGGTATTCTTATAAAAGAAGTGGCAGACAAATTAGCTCATTATACAGTAGAGATAAGTACAAATATGGATAGAGTTACAAACCATAAAATTGCCACAAGGGTACATATAGTTCCAAATTGCATAGGAATTTTCAAATGAAGATAATAAATATCATCAGTATCTTTATCTTCACGTATAAGTAAGAATAACTCAGTGGTTAAAAGAGAAGGCAAAAATGAAATAAAAAGTAAACTTGAGTCCCACTCACAAATGAATTGACAAATTTACTTTGGAACTTCACCATTTCCCTTGTTTATTTGGAATATGATATTTTTCAATTAAAAAAGAATTTAGAGACTTCCACGAACACAGATCTCTAGGGGAAAAATCAACTATTGGTGCAAAAGGAGCAATAATTCTAAATAATATATTATAAATATAATATTAAATATTACATTAAGCAATAATCTTAAACCACATAATTCACAGATAACATGGGCATAATTTTATCTTCCAAAGAGCTTAGATGAGAATTTATTAATAGGCAGATAACCTACTTCTTTGAGATACTGGGGAAAATCAGCTACAGAAGTGGGCCTGGTGTGGTTTTCTGATAATTTGGAAAACTCTTTTACATGGTGGTGGTTTAGTCTCCAAGTTATGCCTGACCCTTGCGACCCTATGGACTGTAGCCTTCCAGGCTCCTCTCTCCATGGGATTCTCTAGGCAAGAAAGCTGGAGTGGGTTGCATTTCCTTCTCCATTGTTGTATAAGAAGCCTAACACTGAGGAGATGGCGGAAGTTTCCATATATTACTATCAAGGTCTCTTTAATCACTTGTTCCTAACCGGTCTCTGTTACTCTCCCACAGGCAGAGCCAATCCTGCCACACCCACAGAATAGATAAATTCTCTTCCTGTTTTCCAAAAGAAGTAGAAGCCCTTCAATGGACAGCCTTTCAGCATTCTGAACTTCCCTCACCAGCATCTGGAAATTTAACCACATCCACACATCCTTAACTTCTACCTTTCACTTTAGAACAGGTGTTCTGCCTTCTCTCAAAGTTTACTCATTAAATGTATTCTGGGTTTCATGCTTTTTCTACTGTGGAGATCTTGATCACTTTTTTCGCCTGAATTTTCAAGGTGAAGGTAGAGGTAAATCCCATAACAATAGCTGAGAGAATGGAACAGGCTTATAAAAGTTTTGGTATACATTAAAGGTGGAGGGCAGAGGAAAAAGAGATGATTCAAAGAAAATAAAAATAAAAAAGATAAATCATTTGCTTGACTACTGTCCATAACTGAACTGAAACTATGAAACCAAACTGTTGGGGAGGGTAGGAAGATTCATGATAGCTTTAAAAATAAGTAAGCAAATTAATTTATCAGGTAATTAATAAAATCCTAGAGAAATAGCAAGCTATTCAAAAGAAAATGTTATTATTGAAAAGCATTACTTGGATCATTTGTGTAAACTATGTACATAGTCATAATAATGATGAATATAATAAACAGTCAGACATGACTGAGCGCGCGCGCACACACACACACACACACACACACACTAATGATAACACTGAATGTGATTTTGAGATGAGTATAGTGGAAGGATGGATGGAAGAGAAAGGAAGTGAAGGAGCAAAAGAGATAAAATCCTCATATTATATGATAGCAAGACATAGTGGAAGTGAAAGTTGGTCAGTCGTGTCCGACTCATTGTGACCCCATGGACTACAGAGTTCATGGAATTCTCCAGACCAGAATACTGTAATGGATAGCCTTTCCCTTCTCCAGGGGATCTTCCCAACCCAGGGTTCGAACCCTGGGTTCTTTGTATTGCAGATGGATTCTTTACCAGCTGAGCCACAAGGGAAGCCCAAGAATACTGGAGTGGGTGGTCTATCCCTTTTCCAGCGGATCTTCCCAAACCAGGAATCGAACTGGGGTCTCCTGCATTGCAGGCAGATTCTTCAGCAGCTGAGCTATGAGGGAAGCTCATACACATTTCTTAAATCTTATCAATTTACACACAGAAAGGTTTTATTTTATTAACTAACAGTTGTAGTTTTATAATTAAAATTGTTGAAAGGAATTGTTTTATTTTTAATGTATACAACTCTTCCAGACCTCACAAAAAACATATGCTGAACTGTTGGCTTTTTAAACAAATTACCACAAATGTAACAATGTGAGTAATACTTCAACAGCAGTTGCTATTTCTAAGTAACAAACATATTTTCAGAGAACTAAATTCATTGATATGGCTCTTCTTTTACAAGCATGCTTTCATGATATATAAAAACATATTTTTTAAATTTTATTTTCATTAAAATGTCTGTTCTTTTGGGAATTCTTTCAGTAATAGCACAATCCTCAATCCTATTACCCACTAGTCCAAATAATTTTTAAGCTTATCAAAAAGCAATACAATTGTTTGCCAAAACTACCTATGTTAAAAATATCCTTCATATCCAAAATCAAATTTATTTAAGCCAGCATCTCATATTGGAAATTTACACTTTATCACATTAAACTAGTATAAAGGAAGTTATAGCTGACATACTAATAGGGCTTTTTAAGCTCACCAAAAAAAGGAAGTCAGTGAAAGTTTCCTTTCGGAAACCTGGTTCTTTTTAAAATAAAGGTAAAGAACTTGTGAATTGTAAGAATTTGTTTCATGATTATATAAAAAATGTTTTCTATACCTGTTTTAAGTTAATAGGATTTTGACCTACTCTAGTTTGGAAGTTACATGCCTCAAATACAAAATATAGCTCTTTAGTACTGTCTTCAATAAATATCACTTACACAGGCAGTTATATAAGACTAGGAGCAGTTCTAGACAACAGTGGCACTCCTCTGAAAACTTGTCTGCCTGTGGAAGGTACAGAGCTGCAACAGAATCTCAGGCTCCAAGTTCACTCCTAGGAACCCCCAGAACGAAGGAACAAAAGGTAAGCGATCACAACCACACACAAAGCAGAAGGGCAACAGCGTGTCTTCCTCTGTAGAATACAGCAAAGTGATTTTTTGTATTCTTTTGAAATCAAAAAGCACTTAAAGGTTTCTGCTAGATCTCCTTTCTGTCATTACTACTACTGCAACTAGTAACACTCTGTTTTAAATGCAAGCCTCTGAAGGGCATGAACCAGGTCTCAAAGTACTTTAAATACCTCTCACAGAAGCCTTTAAGACTTTACGAAATGTCAAACAACAATTAATATAAAGGTAACATTTTTTTGGCTCAGAAAGTCTCAGAGCATTTCAGTCTTTAAAATCACAACTGATAATTTTCTTAGACATCTAGGTTAAGTTTAAATAAGAGAGAAATACCAAAAGTAATGGCTAAAAGGATTGAAATTAGGCTTTGTTGCCCTCTTTGACTACCTTAATCCTGCTGAACTTCAAGACCAAATTAACACCTACTTGGTTATTTATGTTTATACTAATGTTCAAAAGTGTGAAACGCAATCCATCAATTTGGCAAAAATTATCCAAATTATTTTTTCAACAGTATATACACTTCCCTAGATCATAGCCATCCAAACAAAAGCTACTATTTAAAAAACTTTTCCAAAAAATTTAGACTTACTCTATTTTCTATATTTTTTAGTCGAATGATGGTAGGGTTTTCAGAGTATTCCTTTAGAGTGCCTACAATTGCTAATTGTATTGTTATATATCATATTGCTAATTTCGTTTTCATTCAGAACTCTGGGAATGTTATAACAATTTTGTAGCCCCCCAAAAAATTCTAAACCTAGTTTACATATATAAATGTCTTACAAAATTCAGTTAAAGGCATACATGTGCTTCTTCAGAATGTGACTATGAGGTAGTACATACTTACTTTTAATCCTAGTTTTTGATACTTCTTAGCTCTGTTCTAGGTAAGCATTGTTTAATTTTTCTATGTGTCATCTTCTTTTTCTTAAAATTTGGTCTTTGGTTGGAATATTAATACCTACTACATAACATTGTCATGATATAATATTGTAAGTGCCTTGCATGATGTCCTATCTATAGTATACACTCAGTAAATGCTAGCTTTTTTATTATCATGTACAATACCCACTCAAAAAAATAATAGCTTATTATTATTTATTATTTTTATTACTATTATACCTACAATTATTAATAGCTGACTGTGACATATGTTACATGTAAGAGTTATTGGATGGGACTTTGATATTTCACTTTTAATTCAATGATTCATATCAGAGATTCAATTTACAACTGCAGGCTGTGTTGCCAAAAATACATTTTGAATTTACAAGTTGGAGAAATGTCTTTTCACTGTGTATTACTAAAAATTCTAAACAAGAAAGCTTTTACTAGTTCCTGAAAACTTCAGCCTAAACAAAGGAGAAAAACTGTATAAGTAATTAATTTTCTCTTGGCTTGAAGGCTATAAACCATACTTTATTATATAAAATACATGTAATTCTATAATAACTTAGAGCTACTAAAGTGCAAAAATATAACTCCATGTTTCAGATAACAGAAAAGATTAAATTATATGTACTCACTCATACAATCACTTAGTGAACATTCAGAGGTCTTAAGAAGTTGGAGTGATAAGTTGTTTTTATTCATAAAACAAAATATAACTGAAATACTTCACAGAAAATTTTAGCTCTTTATTTATCAATATGTTTAATGAGATATTACTATCCAAATACCTAACTAGTAGCCTTTTTTAAAGGGTGGAGAGGTAATTCAGTCTCCGTCATGAGACTGACTATATTTTCTAGTGTGAGTCCTGTGCAAAGCTTCAACCAAGCCCATATTCTAACAGGCCACAGTCAATTTAAGGAGCATTTATGATGAAACTTCAAACAAAAATAAATTTTGAATAGATTTATCTCTTGACAAAGAATATTTGCTAAAATAGAGTCTGAAACCATTAATGAAAGATAACCACACAATTTGTTTCAGATATATTTGACTATGCATATGCACAGCAACTGCATTTCAGTTTTTAATTTTATGGTCAATTTTTGCTATTCTCTATTTTTTTCTTAATTAGACAAAAACTATGGAGATATCAAGGAGAATCACCTTATTTTGTTTTCTACTTAAAAATCTTGCAAGCTAGTAGTCTTTGTAGCTTGCAAACTAGTAGACAAGGATACAAAGCAAAGTCTGAAATTTTTAATGTTTATATGATACCTTTTGAAAGTACATGATTTTCATATTTTCTTGCTTATAGAAAAGGTAAAAAGCTTGATAATATAGGAAGCAGTTATAGTGAGCTGAATTCTTTTTGATGGCTTCTATTACTGAATAAATGATTGCATCTTGCTGATTTCAAAGCTACCCCTAGTGGAAGAAGCACAGATTCTGAAGCTGGAATAGTCTTGCATTCTTTATGGTGCTGGGAAGTGGGGAAGTGGTGTGTTGGGAGAACAGTGGGTAGGCCTTGGACAAGTTATTTACATAACCTGAGAAAAATGGCACAATTAGAAGTATCTTCCCTATAGGATGGGAGAAATTAGAGAAATTAAACATAATGCATCTGTAATAGATTCCAAGGTTGCTTTTCAAGTGATTTCTAGCAGCAAACCAGAGTCCCAGGGCCTGTGACCTGGATCTTACAGGAAATAATTTAATTGGCCTTCACAGTGTCCTTAATACACACACACACACACACACACACACACACACACACACACACGATGCATCCAAAAAGACAGGTAGAATATAGGTTCCTTGTCCAGATCTCATTAACCCTACCACTTCCTACTGTACGTAGATCCTCTTCACACAGTTATATTGCTTGCCTGGGCTCTAGAAGCATTTGTGTTTGCACCACTCTCCCTCAAATGTGACTGATGAGAAATATTCCTTTCTCATGAAACCTTTCTAAATTATAACTACATAGAAATTATAGAGCTGATAAGAATAGTTATATTTGAAAAGAATTTCTTGTGAAAGCAGAGCACACCTTAGCTATTGAAAGGAATTCCTAATTTGAACAAAAATATCCGGCATCAGATATATGACTGATATTTTAAATCTGACTCAACTTTTTGTCACCTACATCCAAAGACTATTTAGAATCAAAGTTTTATTTTTACACAGGTCATAAGAAACGGGTAGCTGGGGATACTGGGCTCTATCTGCAAGTGACACTGGATTAAACAAGTGTAAATAGAACAGGTGAGTCTTAAGTGAAAACAAAACAAAACACTGCTAATTCTGTGGGAGTAAGAGATGAAGAAATAGAAAATGAGAAAAAGTTCAAGAAACGGCTCTGGTGGTTCATTGCTCAAAAATCCTAGCATTCCATAACAGTAATACAGAAGAGAGGTTACACTTCACCTACTTCATAAATTTGAGTGGTGGAAGGAGTGAAGATGAGAGATGCATTTGTGGACTGTTAATTCATATAAAGGCTGAAATGCATGCTAAGTCGCTTCAGTCATGTCTTACTCTGTGTGACCCCATGGACCATAGCCTGCCAGCCTCCTCTGTCTATGGGATTCTCCAGGCAAGAATACTGGAGTGGGTTGCCATTTCCTTCTCCAATATAAAGGCATACAGAGCAGAAAATCATTATCTAAGCAGTGGCAGATTGGTCTCTCACTTCATGGATCATCTATCTTACTCTGAGATAGTAGGCATTGTTTGCGGACATATTCTGATTTCATCCATGCCTTTCGATGTTTACACCAAACACTCATAAATATCCATTCTTTCAACAAAGAGCTTTTGAGTGCCTATTATATACTCAATAGTTGTATATGTGATTAAAACAGAGCAATGAACAAAACTAGACAAAACACAAAATCCCAGCTCTTATGAATATTTATGTACACTGGAGAGGGAGGCATATGACAAACAAGTAAATCAGTAAAGTATATGCTGCTGTCAGATGGCAGCAATTCTGTGAGGTTTTTAAGAAATGTAAGAAGGAGGGTGTATATTTATAAACACGAGGCTTGGAGAACTCTCCACTGAGAAGACATATGAGTAAAAAGGAGAAGGAAAAGAAAATGCAACAGAATAGATGTGGCTTAAGAGGCCACAAAACGGAACTGAACGGATTAAAGTGAAAGAGTAGTAGGTGAGTTCCAAGAGGTCAGATGCTGTAGTGGCGATGGTATGACTGCAAAGGCCTTGCTTTTACTGCAAGTAGAATAGGTAGTGATTGAAGAGCTTCAAGGAGAAAGTGACTTGAGCTGACTCACACGGTAAGAGGTTACTCCGGCTACAGTGCTGAGTACAGACTATTATGATGCTCCAATGAGAGACGATTGCTGTGTGGGATAAGACAGAGCCATGAAGACTGGGGCAAGAGGTCATGTGACAGATACATTTTGGAGTTGGAAGTAATAAGATCTGTGGATGAATCAAACATAGCATGAGTAAAAGAGAGGTACCGAGGACAGCGCCAAGGTTTTTGGTCTGAACACCAGCAGTAGTATTGCCGTCAACTGAGATAAGTAAGGTGACAAGCAAGTCTGACTTCTTAGGGGGAATATCGATAAACCAGTCTTGAGGGTGTTAATTTTGAGACACCATTAGAGATCTAGATTCAGGCATCTGGACGTCAGGAGAGACGGATAAGCTGCAGATGTAAATTGGGAATCATAAGGCCATGGGTAGTTTTTGGAGCTATGAAACAGCATGAATTTACCAGCGGAGTTAAGGCTGGTGGAGGAGGGAAGGCATTCCACGGTTGGGGATGAGAAGCAGAGCCAGCAGAGAAGCCTGAGACGGGGGCAGTCGGTGAAAACGCAGGAAAATCAGGAAGAGTGTGGCGTGCTGTTAGCAGGGTGAGAAAGCACATCGAGAATGAGACCAAGTGCTTCAAAGGGCTGAGAAGTGGCTCCTGGATTTAGCAACACGGAGGTCAGACTAAAAAAGAACAGTTTGGATGGGACTGTGGAAGCAAAAGTGTGACAGATAGAAGGGGCTCAAAGGAGAATGGGAAGAAAAGAACTGGACACACAGAATCAACTTTAATAATAGCTAGTTAATGAAACACAAAAGATAAAAAAATTAAAAATATGATTTAAAAGAACATGGAAAATGGAAAATGTGAAAAGTCAAAGAAATTTCAGAAATGTAGATAACTTTTCTTTTTAATTAAATAGAGTGATAAAGTGAAGATTCTAAACTTTGCACTTTACCTGGTAAGATGATTCGGCAATGTCACAAATAAGACATCCCCTTGTAACTTTTGACATAAAGTACTCTTTTTCAAATAGATGAAGTGATGTTATGTTTAGAAAGAACTGAATATATAGAAAAAGAAAGGTTCCCACTGTCACACATGTACATTCACATTCATAGATACAAAACCAAAATAAGAGAGAAATTTTTAAAGTAATGTCTGTGGGTATTCCCATCTGCTAAGAGTATAGCAATTCATTATTCATATGCAAATCTAGAGTTATTTAAAATTAACAGCTTAAAACTTTTAAAAATTCATTAAAAAACTAGTTTTTATTACTTCTGAGACTTGATACCAACATTTTCTTTCTGTACATATTGAGAGGAGTGATGAAATAAACTATTTTTGCCTTAGTGAATAAGTTTCATAACTAACATAATGTATTCCAATTTATGATCTTTTGAGAAAATATAAAAGTATATGCCATTAGGGGAAATTATGGAAAAAACATCTCAGAGGCAGCATTTAGGGAGCAGAGACTGAAGTGTTATGAATCACCTACCTCCCTAATGTCCCTTTGATACTTAGTGTTCATTTCTTCTGTTTTAATGAGGTCCTTTCTTGCTGTCTCGGCTTCCTGTTCCACCTCTCCCACTCGGGAAGAAAGGGCTGCTAAACGTTCTTTCATTTGGGCCATTTCATAGTTTTGTTTTTCAAGCAATTCTTGTAGTTCAACTATTTGACTTGTTTCATCAGTTGAGTCTATAGAACCATTGGACAATCGCTGTGGAAAAAGAGAAAGAAATGACACTTAGAATTGTCCACCTCTTTAATTTGAAATCCATGAACTTAAAGATGTAAGACTGATAAAGATTTCATACTGAACAGTAAGAACTCTAATAGAACTAACTTTGGGGGAAAACTAAGCTTCTCAGAAAACTCTTAATTGACATTAAAATATAAAAGTAGACCAGTAATTTTCAAATAGGTTAAAAGATGCATTTGAACTGGAAGGTACTATACATACACTATACACAGTTTAGCACAAAACACAGGTAAACCCTAAACATTCAGTAAGTGTCAGCTATTTTTAATCAATTACATATGAAATTTACTATAAATAAATAATACTACATTTATGTAACACAGCATATCATTAGTAAGAAACTATGTAATATTTTCTATTTTTATTCAAGATCCTCTATGAATTTGCAAGTCATTTTCAATGACACTCAGTAAAAGAGCTTACACAACATTTTTCTTCTAAATAAGGTTATTCCTATTGTGAATCTGACCTCGTTGGAACAAAGGTATAGCATAGAAAAGTCTTGCTTTCTATATTGCTATCAACATAAAAGTTATGAGTCTGCACAATCCACAGGAAAGAGGCTGAGAGTTTAAATAATTTGAGACTGATTTTTCCTCTTTTTGAAGGGGCTGCCTGGGAACCAGGGTGATCCACGTCTTCAGAAGGATGCCCTACAGCCAAGCTGCAGGACCTGGGGAGAAATAAGTGCTAACAGAAAAAGATCACAATCAAGTAGAAATAGGAAAGTGTGGACAGAAAGCAAAGAAAGTGCTATCAATTCTTCTAGAACGCCTGTTTAGCAAATGTGAATTTGTTCTAGCATGATAAATACATCAAGGAACAATTTGAACGTAATGTAATTTGTGTTTTCTTATGTACAATCTCATTTTTGAGAATTACTGGCTGAATGCAGAAAAACAGACTTTGCTGAATCAATCAGTGTTGAAATATATTAATCAAAATGCCACGCATGCTCATTCCTCAAGCATCGAACACCAACCTCACACTTCATTGAGCAGTTCTGGTTAACCCATCCATATCTGTTACACCTGTCTGATTTTACTTATCCCTCCCTCCACCACATCACAACAGTTCACACTTATACCCCTTCAGACATCCACTTTAATAAGCAAAGTTCACATTTTTTTCAAAGTAAAGAGTTAAATTTATCATAGCAGTTACGGAATTCTTAACCATTTAACATGGGTAAAACTGTGCGTCCAGCTTTACTAGTTTTCTATTTCTTTTTGAAGTCACTGAGCTGTGCGGCAAACCCCTTCCCCCATGAGCTCTGTGTTTTTTATTTTGCGATTTTGCATGACTCATGACACTTTGGAATCAAATGTCACATTAGACAAAAGGTGGTGCTAGTGGTAAAGAATCTGCCTGCCAATGCAGGAGACAAAAGAGACTCAGGTTTGATCCCTGGGTTGAGAAGATTCCCTGGAGGAAGGCATGGCAATCCACTGCAGTATTCTTGCCTGGAGAATCCCATGGACAAAGGAGCCTGGTGGGCTACAGTCCAAAGGGTGGCAAAGAGTCAGATGGAACTGATGTGATTTAGCACGTGCGCAGATAGGAGAAAAGGAGGACTATCTACTGCATCACAAAAGATAAGTGAGAAAGATAAAACAGAGAGAATGGGAAAACAAACAAATGGCAAGGCATGTTGATAAGTCCAGTTACCTAACATGTGGAGAAACAGCCGGACACATCAAAATTAAAAGGGCAGAGAAAGACGGTCTTAGACAGCACCTTAAGATACCAGCTGGATCTGCAGTTAGTACTTCGAACATATTACTGAATTTATGTATTGCAGGTGTCAAACTTCTAATTACCTAATAAAATGGGTAAGAGATGTTACAATTAGGTAGGGATTTTGAAGAGGAACCACAGATCAGTCGACCAGATGCTCCTTCAGTCTTGATTCCCTTAGCGGCTGGGACTGCTGCTCACTGAGGGATCAGAGCTGAGAACATGCCTAGGAATTGCTCTTGGTGCAAAGGAGCTGACTTTCCAAAGTTAAACGTCCTTGCTGGGGTATGCATTACCGCATACAACGCAGACCAGTACTGTGTTTGTGCTCAGTCATTCAGCTGTGGCCAACTCTGTTTGTGATATTATGGACTGTAGCCCGCCAGGCTCCTCTGTCCATGGGATTTTTTTCCAGGCAAGAATACTGGAGACGGATGCCATTTCCTACTCCATGAGATCTTCTTGACCCAGGTTGATCCAACCTGTATCGCTTGTGTCTCCTGTACTGGCAGGTGAATTCTTCACCGCATAGACCAGTAATATTGTGAAGCTGATAAAAATCCAACATTCTAGACAGTTTTTAAGAACACAAAACTGAAAACCATTGATTGTGACCTTTATATATAACATTCATGGGCAAGTCTGGATCAGCCTCTTCTGGGATCACAGCCGTGAGTGTCCAGGAGTCTTCAGCAGAGGCATGGGTCAGCGGCGGTCTGCTGCAGAGTCGGGGGCACTCAGCGCAGCATATTAAAAGCAGAGACATTACTTTGCCAACAAAGGTCCGTCTAGTCAAAGCCATGGTTTTTCCAGTAGTCATGTATGGATGTCAGTCGGATTATAAAGAAACCCGAGTGCCGAAGAACTGATGCTTTAGAACTGTGGTGTTGGAGAAGACCCTTGAGAATCCCTGGGACTGCAAGGAGATCCAGTCAGTCCATCCTAAAGGAAATCAGTCCTGAATGTTCATTGGAAGGACTGATGCCGAAGCTGAAACTCCAATACTTTGGCCACCTGATGCAAAGAACTGGCCCTGATGCTGGGAAAGATTGAAGGCGGGAGGAAAAGGGGATGACAGAGGATGAGATGGTTGGATGGCATCACCGGCTCAACAGACATGAGTTTGAGTAAGTTCTGGGAGTTGGTGATGAACAGGGAAGCCCTGCATGCTGCAGTCCATGGGGTCACAAAGAGTCAGACACGACTGAGCTACTGAACTGAACTGGTCTGAAATATGACATAATTATCTGTACATTGAACTGGGAAAAGCCAAGTTACATTCATTAGACAGCAATTGAGAACTGATTTAGGAAGAAAGGCTAGAGCCAATTGCCAGTCAGTTATGTCCAAATCTGGGATTACTGAGGTGTGATATTACTGGGTTTCTATAATAACAGCAAATTTTTTTGAACTTTATATACCACCTATAAGTAAGGAGGAAACCTTAAGCTTTAACAGAATTTCTGCCTCTTCACATTGAGAATTTTCTCTAGTCAACTAGAAAAAAGGAAAGTTTTAGAAACTATGAAAGTTAGAAAATAAATATTTTGCTTTGAAAAATGTTTTATGTTATTGAAATATTACATTCAAGATTAAAGTCCTTAAGAACTTTGGAGAAACTGAGACTTAGGGAATTACACAAAGCTGACTTGAATTAAAATGCAGAACTTTGAATTCACAGTTCATCTATACTTTATTATTTTTAGTTAGGACATATAAATCTAAAGGATAAATAACACATGTTGGATGGTATTGACAAGTACCAAGAATACAGTTGTGTGTGTGTATATAGCTATATGAACATATGTAAAACAGCACACACACATGTACACAACCACACAAATATGTATATAAATTCTACAAATATTTGTTCAGTGCAACTGATTGATCTTAATTTTCTAATTAGAAAAATGATTATTTCAATTTTGTGCACCTGAAGTCCATTAAAATCTTATCTAAAAATTGCATAGTTTTAATGGGCTCGAGGTGAGAGAAATTTAAGTAAATATAAACAGTAATCAGACAACAAAAATAAAACAGTTTCATAATGTTAACCTCATCAATTCCTTTAAGTTCCATTAAGTAGCAGATGTGTATTACAAAGTCTTTATGCTACTTTGGAATTTTGGACTATCCATGGAAATTTTTTGAACTCTCATTTTTATCTTCTGAAGTACATGAAAGTGAAAGTTGCTCAGTCATGTCCAACTCTTTGTGAACACAAAGAGTAGTTTTTGCCAGGCTCCTCTGTCCATGGAATTCTCCAGGCAAGAATATAAGAATACTAGAGCATTATATGTTTAAAATATATATATATTTCATCTATTCAAATCATCTTATATATATTCTGTGCTGAGTTTAATATATGCTTTTATAATTTCAGAGTAGAAAAATCATTTTAAACCTGTGATTTATGTCTTGAAAAAAGAATATATAGCTTTTATTCCAAATTGTTATTCTCTTGATCTGATACCCTTGCAAATATTTGCTTTTATTCCAAGAGATCATTGTCCTTCTCATTTTACTTTAAATTTTCAAATTTGGATTTGCCTCCAAATCCAAACTAAGGTTGCACTTTCACTAGAATAATGAAAGTTATAGCTTCCAGGTTTACATATACCCCCTTCCCTCCTGGCCTTCCATTCCACAACCACCTCCTCTCCCCTCCCAACCATCCAGTCACCCCACAGCACAGTGCTGATCCCCCAGTGCTATGCTGGGGGTCCCCACTAGCTATTTATTTACACATGGAAGTGCATATACGTCAATCCCATCTCCCAGTTTATCCCTCACCTTATCCCTAGCCTAGCATCCACAAATCCAGTCTCTATATCAGCATCTCTATTCCTGCCCTGAAAATATGTACATCTGTACCAGTTTTCTAGATTCTACATACATGTTAATATACAACACCTGTTTTTCTCTTTCTGACTGACTTTACTCTATACGACAGACTCTAGGTCCATAACAACCTATTGGATACAGAAAAGGAAATTGAAGCACAGAGTGTAAATATTTCCCTTAGGGTCAAATTACTGAAAAGTCATAAGATTACGATTTGAATGAAGGCATTCAAGTTTCTGATTCCTAGGAGTCTACTCCTGTCACTCTTTTCTTATTTCTTTTGTTGATTTTCTCTCTCTTTCTATGTTTTTGTTCATTCTCTTTTGTTCATTTATTGTCATTTAACCATTCATTAAATCTACTTGTTGTTTGATTTA